GTGGAAACTGTAACACTCACGTTATGTAATTCAACACTAATAAAATTCAAGACACCCACATAATCAAGATTACCCAAAAGTATCGTATTAATAGATTCATTCATACAATGCATTTTATCAAACCAGGAACATAATGCATGCACATTTTGCTGAATAAATAAATAAATGTAGTAACATAAATAAATACTCAACAATGTTATGAACAAAAATTAAACTTCGTGCGTTGGCATTAATTTATATGAAACGTTTATACAATCATTACGTTCAAAACATTTTTTTCCAATCAGGGTGCCCTTATAGGGTATAAATAGTGAAATATACGCGTAATGTTTTTTACAGCCGCGAAAACTGATGATAAATAAAAATACAAATCTTTCAAACTTGTTTATACAAATTCAGATATCTTTTTTCTGAAATTGGCCTTTTTCATATAACCTTTGCAGATAAAAGATGTCAAGTACCATGATTATTACGATTTATGAATACATTTTCTTGTGGAGGCCATGTCTTAAGCGATTTGATACAAGATATCTGTATTGAATTTAATAATCCATTTTGTATTTACAAAACAGTCTTGCTCGACTGTGTTATCTTGAGCTCTTAGCATTTCTACCCGATTGAATGAGCTATCAGATAAGGTTATAAATATATGAAATTTCGGTGCGTAAAATTGGCCAACTATAGAAGCTTCAAATCACGGCGGATAGATAAACTATTCGTTTCATGCCTACAATATCTTTTTACAAAGGGAAGTTTTATAATGGGGCACTACTGACTTATAATGTCAGATGTCACGACATCATATAAAGCTTGTAAATAAAATTTAACCTATATCAATGCCATAAATAACACCTGGCTGCACAAAATACGTACGTTATTGACTTCTTTAATTTTTCATTCAGAGTAACCATACAAAATTCTGTTATTTGTTGCTTTTTTTAAACCATTATTTTCCATGATGGAGTTTCATCCAAATGGTTAGATTACACGTGAAACAGCATCAAGTATAGTTACACTAACTGCAGTGTTTTGAAACTAAGCTAGTCTTTCAATCAAAGCAGACGGCCAGGTGCTGATAAAATTTAATAGCAGTTATTAAAATAAATATTATTGTACAAACAATTTTAATAAGGTTGTTTGTTCAATTTACATAGTGATTATGGTATGTTGATGTCGAATAGATCATGTCCGCAAAGCAAAGTCGGTTAGAGCGCGAGACGTAATCTCGACATTGTTGGTTCGATTCCCGAGCAGCTAAAATCACTAATCAGTCTTTCGGATGAGCCTTTAAACCGAGGTCCTATGTATAAGTGCTTAAAAATTTGGCACGCTAAAGAACCAGAAGAAGCTTTTAGAATTGGGGCATCTTTCTGTTTCTGTTTCTTGCACTATATTCTTCAAAATCTAAAATGACTAATACGTACTCCTCTGGGAGACTCGCCCGTATGGGCAACCGGTGGCGAGAATAAATGAACTTGAATACACACGCACACGCGCGCATGTCGGATAGAAAAAATGTTTCTTGGGAAAGAGTGTTGACTTTACATACAATTTGACAATTAGTTGAACATGTTATAGTTATTACACTATGACAGTTTTCACCGGATGCTGTGCATCAACGTGTGAAATGTATTTCCAGATTTCTTTGTTTACAGCGACAATTTCAAAATTGATATAAAAATATAACTTCCGGTCTAAGTTTTTGTTTTCATTTCCGCTTTGAACTATTGAAATTAGTGAAAAAGGAATGAAATCAGTTTCTCAGTCGCTTTAAACACACGTGTGACAAGTTTGTCATAAATATGCCTGCTCTGCTCAAACAATCGAATTATTATTTTACATTACATGGCTAAACTTTTATACTAATTAAAAAAACATATAACTGGAATCATTTCTTTAGGTGGTATTTAAGTATGACAATGATTAAGAATTAGTTTTGTGGAAAGAATGGATTCCATGATATTTATACAAATTTCAATAGGGCCTTAGATAATTCAGTGAATGCATGAAGTGTTCCACACAAGCTATTGTGCAAGGTGTATGGGATTTTAGGATACATGACGCTTCTTAAAATGTGATGGTTGATTCTGTTATCTCTTTTCGCCATACGCTATTAGAATTTTTTTTTTCATTTTTTTAAAGAGTGTGACAGCACCACACTAAATACCATATTTAGGTATATACCGCAAGAAGCGCTTGAATTGAACGATAAAATCTCGTCTTTTCACCAGCTGAAATGCACTTTATAACATCTAATTCATCTCTTCACACCGATTTATATACCATGATGAAAGAAAAATGTAAAAATCGGCCAACAAAACTATATTTTTCTACTTTGTGACCATGACCTCTGCAAGCCTCTAGAGATACTGTTCCAACACTGTAGTACGTTAAATCTCTTTTTATCTTAAGTTCATCTTCAGAAAAAGTGCATGTTTAAAAACATGCAAGCATGCGGAATATTATGCTATACAAATCTTCGTTATCTACATTTTTACGGCCATACTGGTGTCAATATTATAAATATTGTCAGTGAAATTGGATACACATAACTGGTTCGGTTAAATGAAATTTTATCTGTGTTATTTATTGAATTCTAATACATTCCCCTCGTAAAGTTATACACCTCGCTCGACCGAACTTCAACCTTTACTCATTGTTAAACTTTAAACATTTTGTTTAGATTGTTACTTTATATATGTATCTTTATGTATATACAAATGTTGACGTAAGAAAGAGACACGAATATCACTTACTTAAAATGGTTTTTTAATCACGCTCACATAAAATATGTTTGAAATTGACTTTTCAAAACTGGACTCTTTGAGTTCTTTAAAAAATAACTGCACGCCGTGATAGAATTGACGACGCTATCATTCCCAACAAACGCTTAAACAGTATATCCAATACTAGACTGGCTTAAACCAGGTCTCATAGGATGGCAAAAAATTACACAACTAAAGTGCAGCATCTTTTGTAGTTTTACTTTGAAAGCAATTTCAGTATGATTGTTTTCTTTCACACGAGGCAATTGTGAAAAAGCGTTTCCAGCTGGTCTCCGTGGAAGATTATCTAGGATGCTTCTCATGTTTTTATTTCGTAACCCTAGTGCAGCAACGGTTTTACTCCCATTGAATTTGATAGGATTTAACCCGTTCCTGCACTTCTTTAAGGTGACGATATATTGATATCGGCAACGAGTTCGCTCTCTGAATAAACAATACCTGGTGTCATTCATGGCTGAACAAAAGTTCGAACCCAAGGCAGACATTTTAATCAAAAGCTCATCTTGCCCATCGTATATAATATTATACAAGTTCGGGTACTAGCAAATACATTGAAAGACCTAACATATAAAGGGCTAGCTTCTTCATACGAAAGAACTCAACCTAACTGACTGTTCTGAGATTCGAACCAAAATTGGAGAGGGGCCAGTGCTTCGAAAATCACTGATGATCTTAATCTTCCTGCCTCAAAGGCAAACTTTATGACATGATAACTTCTCTTTGTTAACAGATGTTATGTATTTAATATTGATTTGATAAATACTTTGCAAGTTTGTTTTCATTAGAATATAATTCATAAATTATACAATACTTAATGTTAAATACGATCGTTGTTTGGATACAAGCTAGCATTTTCACGAAACTTTATTTACACGTTTATATGTATGTATATCACTTTATCTATAATGAGTTACGTAAATAGTATGTAAATACAGACCTTTTAAGTCTGGATTCTACGTTGTTTGATATATTAAAGATAAAGAAAATGCAATGATTTGCATGATAAAAATTAAAGATAAAAGTTGTGATTAACTTAACATAATTTCCCCATGTTTGTATAACGATCAAGGAAATAATAAGATAATAAAAGAACTGTCAGCATGATCTTATTATTTCCATGTTAACTTCCTTTCATGGCAGAATCGCATAATTTATTTACCCTATTTTAAGATACATTACTATGCTCATCTTTGAGCAAAATATGTTCATCAAAAGAAATTTAGTGAAATCTATGAAATTCTAACATAATAATTATGTCTTATTTGAACGAAAGAATGTACAAGCTATGTATGGGGATCTGCATTCATTTTACGGGTCAGGTAACCACCAAAACTGCCAGTTCTGTTCAATATAATATTATGGCACTTTATTCATTTTGTCCATCTATAGTATACATAATATATATCAGCTTTGTATGAAGTCAAAACATGTTTATTTAATATATTAACAAAGAGATCAAGTAGCAATTATCAAATACTAGTATCAAATTTGAATATGGTATATGTCTATAACGATACCAGTTTAAAATATGGTGGAAACGTATCGATCAATTGCTTAAATCTTATGTATTCTTTCTTAAGGACACTGAAATAAATCAAAACTCGAAAGTACATTACTTCCTGGATAAAAACGGTTTCTGGGAAGTCTAAAACTGGGACCAGCTAATTGTTTTGTGTACAAGATCCGATCAATAATATAGTTATTGTCTATCACGTGACTAAACAGGTGTGCTATAACGGTCTTTGTCCGGTAATTCCCTTATTTATCATCATATTGTAAAATGTATCGATTATCGGACAAAACTATCGATAAATTTAAGCAATGTCCTTGTTTGCACAAGTTAGTTGTTTAAATTTATTCTGTTGGGTTTTTTTTGTCACGTATCCCCAGGTATATCTAGTTTGATCTAAAGTATAAAAAGGCATAAATGCTCGTATTGAACAAAAACAACAGCAGCCACAGTAGTTGATATAAGATACAGTTATTTCATCAACTTTGGTTAAACATATATATGCGTGTTGCCGATGGTTGTAAAATATGGTCTTGTTTTTACATTTATTCGCTGAAGGCCTCACATGAAAGCGAAAGTGACTGTCAGTTTTTATACTCTACATATGTCAAGCTTGCACTTAATGTTTCAAAAATCCCTAAATAATATGAAGTTATTTATAACACGAGGGTCATAAAATGATATCAATTTATAAACATACGTACCCGTACGCCGGACTCGGATCACGTGGTGCTTTTCCTTTCTTTGAGTCCTTTTTCTTATTCTTGCCCGCACAGTTTAAAAAAGACATTTTTAATGACTACAAATTTCACTTGATCTAAAACTTTTGCAATACAACGATCTTTAATGTAGTCACAAGTTTCCCTTTTGAATTTTATACTTCCATTTTTTGTTTACACTATCTTTAGCGTCTCTTTACACTTTGATATAACACAGACGTTTTAAAATATCTCTATCTAAAGTCTTGTTAGTGCTTTAAAAAGACAGCGTTTATGTCAATGACTGTTTATGATGTATCGTCGCATATGACATTTATATCATTTCATTTAAACGAACTGTTCACTTAAATGTTGACAACATGCGCCCTATATATTTGTAAAATCTAAACTTAACATTCCTCTTAAACTTGATAACAAAAATGGATTATCATACACCTTATATTATATCCTTAAAACACAGGTGCGAAACGTTATCCAACATATGACGCTCCTCTAAATAAAACTTGTAAATATTTTTGTATATATAAATATAAATCCAGCTAAGTTATGAATCGGTAAATAGTAAGGTAAAATGTATCTAATTTTATGCTTCGTCACAAACGTTTTTCGACCATTCTATTCCAAAAATAGTTTTTACTATACGACCATTAATGCAGTTTAAGCGAATATTTATTATCAAAAAACAAACACACTTTAAAATGTGATAAAACCTTTGTGCGGACCAAACTATGATAAGTATTGATCGCGTATTTTATGCCCAATAATATGCTAGACAAGTCGCTAATAAAACGATAAAGACCTAAAATCACCTCAAGGGACGTAAGCGAGATTTTAAGTACCTGTGAAACGTAATTATACACCGTTTACAGGTAAACGCAACTCGTTAACTATGGAGGGCGTTCGTTGCCAAAATTCCAGACATGTAAAGTGTTCCTTTTTAAAATGACTTTTGAAAATGCGAACTTGTATGCCTACCATTTTTATTGTAAACCTCTTAATTCAATCTTTTATTTGAAGGTTACCGCCTTTATATAACAAGTTTACATATATATCGTAACAACTGACCTAACATCTAAAACGACAACAAATTTACAAGTTCGTATCTTCCATTGCATGCAATACATATGCATGTTTGCACACTTATAGATCTGAAATATACAAATGAAACGTAAAACACGAATACGGAAAATAGAGTTTAAGAAAACGTGTTACCAGTTGTAGAACTACAAGAGTACGTTAACACAGTAACATGTTTAAAATGACAAAAGTAGATTCACAAAGTTAAACGATTTTAAGTCAAGCATAACGCCCCGCCCCTCTCGGAGTATTTACGAACTTCTATTGCGGACAGGTATAAAACGGCGCCTCTCCCATATTTTTAAATAAAACTGAAGGACAACATACGGCATTTTTCATAAAATATATATGTTACATTTGTTACAAAAGTTTTGTCAGTAGCAACATCACTTGAAAATTGCTGATTTTACCATTTATGATGAAGATAACTTATGCATTACCTTATTTTTAACATCGTGTTCTTATCAGTTACAAATTATTTATCATTTTAGTGATTAGCCTATCCGTGCTCTGCCTAGTGCCCTGTCCTGTGTTTTGTTTTGGGTCCGATTGGCTTCTTGCCACTTGTTCTTGTTGCTGGGTCATGTGGGGTTGCGTTCATTGAGCGCCGCCTTTTCTTGTTGATCTTGTTTATCATATATTCCTGAGAAACATCGGCGATTGGGAAATTTTTAGGGGAAACAATGACCAACTTCAAGGGAGTAATTTTATTAATAATGTAAAAAACCACCCAATATTCTTATTGGTATCATTGAAAAATGTATTGGCACACATTTCATTTTCAACAAAAACTATGCAAGTATATTTTAAAGCGGCCACCGAGATTTCCTTTCCGAAATCAAGAAAATACTTATCCGTAGCACATATGTACAATCTTTAATAAGGTATTTTCAGTAGTATGAATAAAAACTTTTTGCATCTGCTCATTATCCCTCATGTACAGACTCAATCAAACCGAGTCTGCAATTCTTATGTAATTTTTTAGTGATTAATGCTTCCGATGGATCACTTTGTTTTCAGATTTTTATACTTCACAACAGCAGGTTTCAAGTGCCGTGAGGCAGCTGTAAAAAGTTGCCCCGTACTTCACTTCAGTGTTGTTATATTTTTCTGGTCTTTCGGGATCATTGATGCCAGCACTATTAAGTGTTGAGAATTGAGTACCGTTCAAGCCGGTGCTAGGGGGCGTGAGGCATGTTGCACTTGTTCATTATCCCTCATGTGCAGACTCAATCAAACCGAATCTGCAATTCTTATGTAATTTTGTTGTGATTAATGCTTCCGAGGGATCACCTTGTTTCCAGATTTTTAATAAACTTGTTCAAAACTTATGGTCTTAACTTCATTCAATATTTATTTTCCTTTTTGAATAAAGTATCTAAAGGAAGCGACGTTATTTTTTTCCGAATATATGAGTGTGGATTTAAGAGAAAAAAAACAACGATAAGTTAGAAACAAAATTTTTGATACTTCTACGTAATTAATTTTCATTTTTAAGGCATCACTAGAAAGTTCATTAAGGATTCTTAAGCACTATTAAGTGTTGAGAATTGAGTACCGCTCAATCCGGTGCTAGGGGGCGTGAGGGATGTTGCACTTATTCATTATCTCTCATGTACAGACTCAATCAAACCGAGTCTGCAATTCTTATGTAATTTTGTTGTGATTAATGCTTCCGAGGGATCACTTTGTTTCCAGAATTTTTTACTTGAGTCTAAAATTATCAACGCCGCCTTTCCTTGATGATCTTATCATATTCTAAAATTATCAAAATTGACCAAGAAATAAAAAAGTAAGTAAGGGGCGCCATGTTTCTCTTACTGAATTTCAGAGTGTGTTTTGTTGTTTTTTTACTTGGGGATCATATGCCGTTTTTCATGGTATGGCACTTACGTGTCAAATTGAAGGTTCCATGATAATCACCATATTAACACATCTGCGGATGTTTCAAAATTCAAAATTGTACCAGTTCATGTTGAATTTTGCTTAAGTCGGTGCTAGGGGGCGTGGACGATAATTTGCTCTTTCCATTACCGTCCATGAGCAGGCTCAATCAAACCGGCCTGCAACATTCTCAATTTTGTCGTTTTGAGCGTTCTTTAGGGATTCTTATTTTCCCTATTTTACAGAAAGTAACATGATAAACTTTTTAACGAAAAGTTAATTCATTTTGATTTAATTCCTTTTTATTTTGAGGCATTATATAATCATATATCATGAATCGTATTAATCACACTTTTATTTCAATCCAAAATTATCAAAATATATTACGAAATAAAAAAAAAGTTTGGAGGGAACGCCGTGTTTTTCTTACCAATTCGAGAGTGTTATTTTCAGACTAAAAAAAAAACAAACAAAAAAATCAGTACATCTATTTAATTCATTTTTATTTCCGAGGCACTCATAGAAAGCTTATGGAGTAATCTTTCATTTGATACAAATTATATTGGACTTTTTATAGAAATAAAAAAAGTTAGAATGGACGCCGTGTTTTCCTTCACTTTATTGAGAAATAGGAGAGAGGCGACGGGTATTATACCTGTCCGTACATTTCCGTGATAAAAAATCGTAAGTACTCAGAGAGGGGCGGGGCGTCATGCATGACTTAAAATCGTTTAACTTTGTGAATCTACTTTTGTCATTTTAAACATGTAACTGTGTAAATGTACTGTTGTAGTTCTACGACTGGAAACACGTTTTATTGAATTATATTTTCTGCATTCGAGTTTTACATTTCATTTGTGTTTTTCAGGTACATATATATATCTACACGTGTGTAAACATGCTTATGTATTATATGCAATGGTAGATACAACCTTGTAAATGTGTGTTAGGTCAGTTGTTAAGATTTACATGTAAACTTGTTATTTAAAAGCGGGTGCATTCAATTAAAAGATTGGATTAAGAGGCATATCATTTGCTGTGCACGAATGCAATCAAAAATGCTAGACATACATGTTCGCATTTTCAAAAGTAGTTTTCTAAAGGAACACATTACATGTCTGGAATGTTGGCAACGATCGCCCTCCATAGTTAACGACATAGCTATTGAGTCAAGTAATTTAATAACTAGATCAGAAATAGTTTAAATTTTGTAATTTTGTTTTTTAATATGAATTTTTAATCTTCAAAATGAAAATATTATCTATTGCAAAAAATAAAAACACGTTTTATTTATAATTTCATATTGGTAAAAGTTTATTTTTACGACATTCCTTATATAGTTATAACTTCCTCTTTCGCTTTCAAAAACAGTTACGTACGTGCTGAAATATTTATTTATGATAATATCAAAATAAACAAATATGTAATCGGGACGTTTGAGGATTTTACATGTACATGTACTTATATAATGTTTAAACAAGAAAAAATGTAAAACCAAATATTGGAATTTGGTGAAAGGTTTTCCTCGACAAAATTCCAATTTTCTGAAAATGGACTGAGTCACATAGATCTATGTTTACAAAAGCGTAAATTGAAAACGAAATTTAGATTTATTATAGAGATGGACTTAATATTTCGTTTTATTTAAATGTTATAATTTACATTAAAATGTCTTTCGACCAATGGAAAAAAGGCAGAGCCGGTCGTTATGACGATGATAGTGACAGCGATGACGAACGAGGAGCCCGGGGTTTTGCCAGATCGCCATATCAGCGGTCCAATGAATATGATTGTTACGGAAGGGAGATTGACTCTGAGAGACTGTCATACGATCGACGGTATGCTGATTCACGTGAAGCACGTGGAGCTAGACAAGATGGCTACCAATATAAACCCGCAGAGCATCGAATTGGTTCAGCAATGTCAGTTAAAAAAATACCACTTCCAGGTTTAAATGCCGGTTTAGGGAATTTGGCCATCAATGATGATACGCCGCTTAGTCGCAGGTTAGTATATTTGGCAAACGATCTTTTTTTCCGACATTGTCAAGAGTCGATTTACAATAAACACTGTCAGGAACTTGAAGCGTTATGGCTTTATTTCATTTTTATAGCATATTAGTTACAACCATTTTGCATCAAACATCTCAGTGATTTAGTTTGGGCTTAGATAAGCCGTTAGTAAAAGTCTTTTGTTTGTTAAAAGATGGTTTCCAGAAAAATGGCTGGCATACAGATGTTAAAGACTTTTTTAATTACTAAACCATGATGTTGATTTACTTGTTTACAAAAAAAAGTAGAACAAAATTGAGAACAAAATGCTTTTTAGCGATACTATGTTTTAAACGATTCAAACAGGAAATAATTTAGTTCAAACTTTTGTCCGAATATGGTAAGTAAATAGAACTGATGCATGTATTAATAACCTTTAAATGCTCTTCTTTTAGTGGAAATAAAGGTATCACGATTAATATTATTATTGTAATTATTATTATTTTTGTTGTTGTTGTTTTTCTTCTTCTTCTTCTTCTTCTTCTTCTTATTATTATTATTATTATTATAATGTTAATTATTATTATTATTATTATTATTATTATTATTATTATTATTATTATTAGTTTTGATGTTATGTGTATGTCTCCCAACTATGGGTTCGAGTACTTTCTAAAGTCATGACTTATAACAAAAACAAGAAAGGAATTGATAAACTTTGCCTCAATTCACGATTCAAACATAAATGTCGCTTATTCTAAAGATACACTCACAAAGAATGCTGCAGAAATAAAAAAAATAATGTTTATAGTTCTATCAAAATCCATAATACTTTTTTGTTTTTGGGGTGTGTGGGGGTGTTTGTCTTTTCTTTTCACGAATCTCCAAATTCAAAAGTGTTTCAATTTTCTTATTAGTATCATAGTTCTTTTTTCCCAATAATTTGTAAAAGTGCATAATCGTATGTCTGTGTACAAAGACATGTCTCAGTTGAAATGTGAACATTTTTTGCCAGATGCTATCTAATAAATATTCCGAGTACTGCATAATTATGTATTATTTGAATACAAAATGTGGACATTTCTAGAACTTGCTGTTCTGATTCTTATGTTTAAGGTGGTCTTTATCACAAGTTTGACTGAATAACGGTACATTCTAAAGTATATATACATCAAGGTGCTAGATTTTTATTTGATACAAATAATTGATATTATAGTAATCATAAAGTTATAATTTTATTGCATTAAAGAGAAATGAAGAATGGAAAGCCAAAAGCAAGACCAAGTGCTAAGCAAATGGAATCTAAACTAGTTGCATTTCCTGCGAAATCTGCAAAACAGAGGATGTCGTCTGCGCAGAGAGTACCTGCAGGAAGTTCAAATAACAGACTGCTTGTTGCTGCGATTGATTTTGGGACAACTTACTCCGGATATGCATTCTCATTTCGGCACGAATATGACACCAACCCCTCTAAAATGCACGCAAATGAGTGGCGGAACGTTGCACAAGGAAATATGAATGCCAAAACTCCGACATGCTTACTCCTACAACCTGACATGAAACTGCATTCATTCGGAAACGAGGCTAAAACAAAATACGCGTCACTTTGTGAAGAAAACGCACACAGAACCTGGTTTTTCTTTTGGGAGTTCAAAATGACACTACATCACGAGAAGGTAAATAAAAAAACGTAACGAAATCATATGAAACTAATATACAGAAAATTCAAATTTCTTTCTTTTAAAGCACATATATTGTATAAAACTTACAATAGTCCCACCACAAGGATTAATAGTCAGAGCGTAAAATAAGTAATCAAGGGATATATGGTCCGATCCTTAGTAATCCAGGGATAGCTGGTCCGATTTTTAGTAATCTAGGGATAGCTGGTCCAATCCTTAGTAATCCAGGGATAACTGGTCCGATCCTTAGTAATCAAGGGATAGCTGGTCCGATCCTTAGTAATCCAGGGATAGCTGGTCCGATCCTTAGTAATCCAGGGATAGCTGGTCCGATCCTTAGTAATCCAGGGATAGCTGGTCCGATCCTTAGTAATCCAGGGATAGCTGGTCCAATCCTTAGTAATCCAGGGATATCTGGTCCGATCCTTAGTAATCCAGGGATAGCTGGTCCGATCCTTAGTAATACAGGGATAGCTGGTCCGATCCTTAGTAATCCAGGGATAGCTGGTCCGATCCTTAGTAATCCAGGGATAGCTGGTCCGATCCTTAGTAATCCAGGGATAACTGGTCCAATCCTTAGTAATCCAGGGATAACTGGTCCGATCCTTAGTAATCCAGGGATAGCTGGTCCGATCCTTAGTAATCCAGGGATAACTGGTCCGATCCTTAGTAATCCAGGGATAGCTGGTCCAATCCTTAGTAATCCAGGGATAACTGGTCCGATCCTTAGTAATCCAGGGATAACTGGTCCGATCCTTAGTAATCCAGGGATAACTGGTCCGATCCTTAGTAATCCAAGATAACTTGTCCGATTCTTAGTAATCCAGGGATAGCTGGTCCGATCCTTAGTAATCCAGGGATAGCTGGTCCGATCCTTAGTAATCCAGGGATAGCTGGTCATAATTTTAGTAATCTAGGGATAACTGGTCCAATCCTTTGTAATCCAGGTATTACTGGTCCGATCCTAAGTAATGCAGGGATACCTGGTCAAATGCTTGGTAATCTAAGGGTTGCAGGTCCAATCCTTAGAAATCCAGGGATAGCTGGTCCGATCCTTAAAAATCCAGTGAAAGTTGCTCCGATCCTTAGTTGGTCCAATTCTTAGCAATCTAGGGATACTTGATCCAATCCTTAGTAATCCAGGGATAGCTGGTCCGATCCTTAGTAATCCAGGTATATCTGGTCCGATCCTTAGTAATCCAGGGATAGCTTGTCCCAACCTTAGTAGTTCAGGGATAGATTCTCTGAACCTTAGTAATCCATGGATAGCTAGGTCGATCATTAGTAATCCATGGATAACTTGTCCGATCCTTTGTAATCTAGGTATAGCTAGTCCGATCCTTAGAAATCGAAGTAAAGCTGGTCCAATACTTAGTTATCCAGGGATAACTAATCCGATCCTAGTAATCCAGGGATAACTGGTCCGATCTTTAGTAATCCAGGGATGGCTGGTCCGATTCCTAGTAATCTAGTGATAGCTGGTCCAATCCTTAGTAATCCAAGGATAACTTGTCCGATTCTTAGTAATCCAGGGATAGCTGGTCCGATCCATAGAAACCCAAGGAAAGATGGTCCAATCCTTAGTAATCCATGGATAACTAGTTCGATCCTTAGTAATCCAGGGATAACTGGTCCGATCATTAGTAATTTAGGGATAGCTGGTCACATTCTTAGTAATCTAGGGATAGCTGGTCCAATCCTTAGTAATCCATGGATAACTGGTTCAATCCTTAGTAATCCAGGGATAACTGGTCCGATCCTTAGTAATCCAGGGATAACTGGTCTGATCCTTAGTAATCCAAGGATAACTTGTCCGATTCTTAGTAATCCAGGTATAGCTGGTCCGATCCATAGAAACCCAAGGAAAGCTGGTCCGATCATTAGTAATCCAGTAAAAGCTGGTCCAATCCTTAGTTATCCAGGGATAACTAGTTCGATCCTTAGTAATCCAGGGATATCTGGTCCGATCCTTAGTAATCCAGGGAAAGCTGGTCCGATTCATAGTTATATAGGGATAGCTGGTCCAATCCTTAGTAATCCATGGATAACTGGTCCAATCCTTAGTAATCCAGGGATAAATGGTCCGATCCTTAGTAATCCAGGGATAACTGGTCCGATCCTTAGTAATCCAAGGATAACTTGTCCGATTCTTAGTAATCCAGGGATAGCTGGTCTGATCCTGAGTAAACCAGGGATAGCTGGTCCGATCCTTAGTAATCCAGGGATAGCTGGTCCGATCCTTAGTAATCCAGGGATAGCTGGTCCGATCCTTAGTAATTCAGGGATAACTGGTTCGATCCTTAGTAATCCTTTTGTGTAAAAGCAGAAAAAATACAGATTTTAAATATGGTTTCAATATTATTCACAGACATTTAAATGTCAATTTTTTAAAGAAACAGATTAGTAAATTTAAATACATTACTGATATATAAAATATCATGTAAATTACATTACATGGATTGTTTACTATTGAAAATAACTATAACTGTACAATATAACACATGTTTACTCTTTGGAAGATCTAATATAATGTTATTTTGTAAGATTTTTAGTCTTTTTTTATAATGATATCAAGTGATAGAATAATTTCATATTTGGTGTCATATTGGCATACAGACATACATTGTACGGTTGTCATAGTAATGTGATAAAACACGCCAAAGACCTTGTAACAATTTCTATTCAAATTGAATATTCACGTAAGATCCCATAAATGTCTGAAATAATTCAATTATGAAATAGCACGAAACTTACTTATTTACAACTTTGGTATACAAATAAATTCCTCATGTTTCTTTATCATAGGAAATAACACAGAACTATCAACTGAAAGATATAAACGGCAAACTCTTGGATGCATTGACTGTATTTAGCCTTTCCATCAGAGCTCTGAAAGACCACTTGATGACGGTACTTCAAAACGGGTACGCTGGCGTTCGAACTAATGACGTCACCTGGGTTATCACCGTCCCAGCTATTTGGAATGATTCGGCCAAGAAATTCATGCGTCTCGCCGCTGAAAAGGTAGTCCAGAAACGAACTTAATGTAATGAAAGAGTTGTGAAGAAAATCATACACTGTCTGTATATGTGAAATGAATTATTTTTGTCACTTTAATTATTGTGTATAAGTAATAGGAAGAGCATCGAAACACCAGGCTATCTGATTTGTACCAGGGGGGCGTAGCCCCCAGATAGTTTTGGTGTTCTTTCTCTTTTGTATCATAGTCAAACATAAAAACACGTTCCCTTTATCACAATATGGAAAAAAGTAACCAATAAACGAGCATCTGAATATGATGTTTCTGTCGCTTTCCACAATAAGTTAACCCAGCAAAAATGATCCAATCAGTTGCCATAATCTGGAGTGCGGGTAACTAATACCTGCACTCCATTTAACGCACTGTGCATGTATATGATTTAACACTGACACGGTCCCCAAACTTTGATACAAGAGACATTTTTTGTTATATGTAACGTAACGAAACTTTAGAGACCTAGAAAATTTAATACTGTAGAATATTTATAGAAAAAATTAAAACTTTATTCTCAGATTACTTAAAAATATTTTTGGTCATCTTTTTTTCTAAATGAGGCCATCATTTAGTACAGACGACACACTTTAATACTATTTCTTACAGGCTGGGTTGGATAAGAACAACATTGAGATAGCATTGGAACCGGAAGCTGCCTCTATATTCTGCAAATTGCTACCAATAACACGTGACCCGGAGACAGAGACCGGAATGACTATTTTTCCACCAGGGGCACGTTATATGATTCTCGACTGTGGAGGTAGGTCATGTCTATGGTGTCACTATAAACTTTAAAATTGAATCAATTCGCGATACCTGTATTCTTATAACACGTTTAGAAGACCTGACAAGTAACATGCAATTTTTAAGTTTGGAGGTAGGCTGTATTCTGCAAAAATCTTTGAGTATCTTGTCACACTTGACTGTAAAGTTACAACAAGCATTTACCTGTTTTACTTGAAAAAGAATTATGTGTTTATTTCTTTCTTCACGGATAATGCAGTATGCCTTTGTCACACTTGAGAAGGTATGTGGTAAGGTATAAAGAAACCTCTTTTGTCAATATTAATTGTGACATATGTACAACTTATGGCGAATCATGCAGTATTCCTTTATCAGATTCGGCTATATCGTATCAAGCAGTAGACACTGCATATTATACATTATTCCTTGATGAAATTAAGATTTTGAAAAAGCTACAACTTTTAGTTTTATTGTTATCCTTATCCTTAGGTGGTACAGTTGATATCACAGTTCACGAAGTGCTCGAGGACAACACTCTGAAAGAACTTCACAAGGCCACAGGAGGCAACTGGGGAGGGACAGTTGTCAATAAATCATTCCTGAACTTTATTTCAAATCTGGTAGGACCGGGTGTATTTAATGATTTCTCAAAGACCCACAAGTCCGGATATCTCGAACTGCTGGAAGAGTTCGAGAATAAGAAGAGAATGACAGCGGCTGATTCAACAGAAAGAGTGACAATACGTATACCAATCGGACTGCAGGAAATGCTTCAAAACGAAAAAGTAAAGCAAAAATTGCAGCAAGGAAAGTACGCGAATAAAGTCGATATTTATGGCGACAAACTAAGAATGGACGCAGCTTTATTCAGAGAATTTTTCCAACAAGCGGTAGACGATATTATTAAACACACGCATGATCTGATGGAATCTCTACCAAGGCCAGTGAAAGCTATTCTTATGGTCGGGGGGTTTTCGGAATCCCCAGTATTACAAAAAGCTGTAAAAGAAGCGTTCGGTCATATGGTCAAGGTCATTGTCCCGATTGAAGCTAGTTTATGCGTTATGAAAGGAGCTGTGCTGTACGGTCACCGTCCATCGAGCATTTCTGCAAGAAAAAGCCGCTATACGTATGGAGTTGCAATGACAGTTCCATATATAAAGGGAACGCATCCAAGCAATAGAAAATATGAAGACGACGGGAAGAAGTGGTGCGATGGAGCTTTTGACAAACATGTAGAAATTGGACAAACAGTGACGCCAGGGGAAGTACAAGCTACCAGAACATACTATCCTATGTCGACATCAGACAAGTTCCTCCCTGTGATTTTATATAGATCCTCAGCTGCCAATCCAATGTTTGTTGACGAAAGATCTTGTGACTTCGTTGGGTTTTATTTTGTAAAAAGACAACCAGGTGTAGGGGAGACGACGAAGCAGGATGCAGTTAGAGTAAGACTGGTGTTTGGTAACTCTGATATAAGAGTTGAAGCTATCAAGTCTGACGGAATCGTACATACAGCTGATTTCAGAATCGAGTAATGCCATGACAAGGCGGTGTTAACTGTATTCTGTATTGTGACAACTGTTATAGAAATATTTGCTGTTATTCAATAACGTACGACAAAACTTATGAATATAAACATATTAATTCCATGATAAAGTGCAATTGGATAGTTTAGGAAGATAAAGGATTATTTGGATTAGAACTTGGAAAAATACTTTGAGAAAATTATGCACTGTGTCAAAACGTTCACAAAAGGTTTGATAATACTATACTATCACTTAACTGCCTTGACAAAAGGGAAAGAATTGGAAATATCCATCGTACTTCTTCATTATTTTAAGACAGAAAATATCAGATATAGATTTGTGCGAGTACTGATGTAGAAGTAAAATTTAAAGCGATAATATTCCGTTGAAAATAACAATACAGGATATCATTTAGAGATCCTGTATGTTGTAATTAAGGATGTAACAATGTTCGTGTTTGGGTTTGTTAACCCTCGCCACCGGAAAGAGACCATATGGGCGAGAATAATGATGTAACATTACTTAAGTGACATTTTATATTTGTGTATATAATTATTCTTCTAAAACAATTTTCAAACATCCAAGAATATGTTAAATATGTACTATAAATGTTTAAATCGCATTATATGTAATCATTGACATATCTGCATTCATTTCTTATGGAAAACATTTGACTTAGACTTTATAGAAAATAAATTTCTAATAACCTCCCTTTATTTACATGAAATGTAAAGTCAGTAACATCTTTACAAATAATGCTTTTTGGAACTTTCAATATTGATAAATTTTCATTTGAGCATCATACTAGTATTTATGATATGAAACCATAAAAATTTGAGGTACAGGATCTTTAAAGTGACATTATGCCCATCCAAGGGTATAAATGAGTCAATATGTGGAAGTCAAAATAAATTTTTATTTCACATTGACAATAAACAACGCACGGTTTCCAAACAAATTTTTCGTAAATGTCCATTAGAATTTACCTGCAACGTTCAGTTCATAAAAAGAGTGGGCAGTCCTTTTATATTTTTAGGCAGATTCAAATTTTATTTGAAACATTTTTCAATATGAACTGTTGGTCAATCACCATTTTAAATAGCAGTCAATCTAGATAGTTCAGCTTAATTAACTATGAAAATATGAGCATAATGTCACTTTAAAGGATAATATAATACCGTGATTAGTTTTTTAATCATAAATGGATTGTTTACAACATTATTACAAAGTGACAAAACGTTAAAATAGACATTAATTTTAGACGTACGTTATAAACCATATACATTGCATCTCTCATTAATTAGTATATCTTCAATTTATAATTTGAGCCGCGTCATGACAAAACCAACATAATGGGTTTGCGACCAGCATGGATCCAGACCAGCCTGTGCTTTCGCGCAGTCTGATCAGGATCCATGCTGTTCGCTATCAGTTTCTCTACTTGTAATAGAGTTGATAAGCGAACAGCATGGATCCTGATCAGACTGTGCGGATGCGCAGGCTGGCCTGGATCCATGCTGGTCGCAAACGCACTATGTTGGTTTTGTCGTGACGCGGCTCAATTTATTCTTTCTCAAGATATGTTTAACGTGTTACCAAAAAGACTGTTGTTAAGGGCTGTATTACCTTGGTTTAATCAAAACAATCTTAATCCATAAAGTTATTTACATTATTTTTTTATTATTTCTTTAACCCTTTTTATACTTTTTTAAATCATTTACAGTATATCAACTTTAAGCGTATCTGTGATATACTATTTTTGTTAATTGACAAATGAGCCGTGTCATGACAAAACCAACAGTGCGTTTGCGACCAGCATGGATCCAGACCAGCCTGCGCATCCGCGCAGTCTGATCATGATCCATGCTGTTCGCTTACAAACCCTATTACAAGAAGAGAAACTGATAGCGAACAGCATGGATCCTGATCAGACTGCGCAGGCTGGTCTGGATCCATGCTGGTCGCAAACGCACTATGTTGGTTTTGTCATGACACGGCTCAAATGTTGTTGGTGTTTGTAATGGGGGTGCTACTGCTGTTGCTGTTCATTGGTTTTTTATAGTAATGAGTCAAACATGGCTTTGGTTCATTGTCTTGTATAGTGTTATGACCTGTTCTCTGTTGAGTTGTGTGCTTATGCTCTGAAATAAAGGAATATAAATAATATTCTGTTCTGCTATGTTCTGATAATATCGTCTTAATTATCTTGCGCCTTTCATTGACAAACATCAATCTGATGCCTTTTTAACACTAACAACAATCCGGTGCCATTCTGTGACTAACTTTATCCTGTTGTCTTTCTTTGACAAAGAAAACTCCGACGCCTTTCTCTGAATAACATCAATCTTGCGTATTTCTTTTATAAACATCATTCTGGCGCCTTTCTTTTATAAACATCATTCTGGCGCCTTTCTTTTATAAACATCATTCTGGCGCCTTTTTTTTGATTTCTTTTTTGACAAAGGTCAATCTGGCGCCTTTTTTTTGACAAAGGTCAATCTGGCGCCTTTGTATGACTAATATTACTCCGGTGTCTTTCTATGACAAATATCTATATATCGCAGCTTTCTCTGAACATCAGTATTGCGCCTTTCCATGACAAAAATTAATATTGCGCCTTTCTATGACTTGCATCATTCTGGCAACATTTTATGACAAAATTAATATTGCGCCTTTCTATGAATCATACAATGTAATCGATATGGCGCTGTTATATTACGGGGAAGTCAAAGTCAGGGCCCGCGAGACTACACGTGTATATTTAAAAGAAAATCAAATAAAGCAATTAAAAGTATATAAAATTTTATACCTATCAATTAAATTTTCAGTGTCAGTTCTAGTTAGGCGCCGTCATTTACAATGTAACTCAACGATAAAAGACAGTGTATTCCGATAACGGAACAAATCTCAACTTTTCGGATTAATAATGAACGTCGAGTGTTCCGAGTTAATACGGAAGCGGTACATGAAATACCGAATGAAACGGAAAAATGAAAGGAATCTCGTTCATAGGCTTTGCCTAATTTCATATTACAAAATAGTACAAGAAAATCATTGATTTAAAACATCAAAGGGCGTCCAAGCAAGGAATGCAGCAAGTGACGATGAACAAGTAGACATAATTATCTTCTTAAAAAATTTCAATGATTAATTGGATTTTACCAGAACTGTATATCACAGATGAATAGGCGGACGAAAGGGAGTGTTCATCCTGAACTATGGTAGGCTTGCTAGAGATTATAATATTAAATGTATTTTCTTTGGAACATACAAAACAGTAGTCAAAATGAACAAAGTCTGTTTTTTTATTTTTACTATAAATGTAGCAAATATACGAACAGTATTTAAAATAGTAACAAAGGGACTAATAAAGTAATATAACATGCATTTTTCTTTCCATGTCAAATTATAAAAATGGTTTCTATTAACACCTAGGACTTATATAATATACTTAAGTTATATTTTAAGTCCCTGATTAATACTGAAGGTAGAAAACACACTGGACTGAAAAGTTTTTGATGAATTATTCAGGATTTTTTGTTATACAAAAAGTAATGTCATGAATAAATTTGCATGGCATGTTGATATGGTGAAACATAATTTACCAATATGATGGAAGACTGTTACAGGTAAGAGGAAATTCACTTACAGCATGTTTATGCGAGTTAAAGATTAAAAGCTGCGTACTTGACATTGGAAATAAATAAAGAGCCATTAAATGGGTTTATTGGTAGAACAATCTACTATTTTGCTGAATTGCTTCAAAATTCTCGTCTGACCTACCAGTATGTTTACATTTCTATTAACCATAACACCTCATGTTAAAACTTAAGACAAACGTTTTTGTTGTTAAATGTCACAGTATTCAGCAAGTCAACATTCCACTCAAACTACCGTCAATTACCGTGAAAAAAAAAATAGAATTCTATTCGAAAGACCCTGCTGATTTAACTTCTTACAGCCAAAATTCGGGAAATTAGGGTCGATTTCAATACCCACAGTAAAGGAAAAGAAAGGAGTTATTAATTTACCGGAAAAAACCTAAGGAAAAGCAATTTCAAAATGATATTACTATGATTCGTAAAAATGTTGTACGATTATACTCAAAATAATTATTTCGATGAATTTATGAAGAGTGCAATTTACTGCATTTCATTTCCTGCAACATTCTCCAGTACGTTATTTATTACCATAGCGCGACAGGAATGACCGTTTCGTTTTTAAAAATCAATAAAAAAAAACTTTTACCAATCGGAATGTTTTCGGCTAAGACTGATGGAAAGGGTGCACTTTCACAAAATCTGACTTGACAAATCAAGCAAGGAAGGCTATGAATAGTATTTTTACTAAAATTCAGAAACTGTGTTTGCCAATTGATATTCAGTTACAGTTCTTTGACAGTATGTATGGGTCGGCGGTGTGGGGATTTGAAAATAATTCATTTATTTCTCAGTTTCAATTGAAATTTTATAAATATTTACTTACACTTAAGGTGTCAACTCCTTCGGTGATGGTCTGAGGAGAATTAGATGCATTTTCTATTGAAAATGATATAACATTACTTGCAGAATGTTAAATTTTTGGAGTAAACTAGTTAATGGTAAAAATGATAAAATATGTGCTTCTTTGTATCTCTGTATAATCTTCATGAAAATGGTATTTTACATTGTCAGTGGATTGAGAAAGTAAAATCTACTTTGAATGATATTGTTTGTTCTGATTTTGGGTAACTCAGATTGCTACAAATTATAATAACTTTAGATATGTAATAATATCTCGTCTACGTGTTTGCTTTTCTTTTACAAGTATGGAATAGAGATTTTTAATTCTGTGAAATGTTTAAATTATAGAATTTATAAAACTCCATTTAAATTAGTCATTATGTACTATGTTTACCAAGTAATTAAGCAATTACTCTTTGTAAATTTAGATGTCTAAATTCTGATCTTCCTATAAGTTTGGTATTGAAAGAGAAAATTGAACGTGCTCACTTTGTAACCAACAAGAAATAGGTGATATATTTCACTATATTTTTAAATGTAGTTATTTTACACATGAAAGACACAAGTATATCAGTAATTACTATTCAAGGTTTCCTAGTATTTTAAATTTTATGGCTGTAATGTGTAGTGATAGCAGAAACACGTTATTTAATCTAGCCATTTTTGTTAAAATAATAATGCTGAAATTTCACTAAGTCATCTTCCTTATTTACTTATTTTCTTCTATGCCATGTTTGTATTATTTTCTGTGGTATTTTTTGTTTGTTCACTCTTATGCCCTTAAGGGCCATGAGTTCTTGTTTATCAATAAAGAATACATTAAAAAAATATGAATGCATTTCATAAAAGGCGTGACCCTTCGGCGCGGACGACAAAAATATCAATCGTCAGAAGCTATTCCAATAGAGCTACTATAATATCCCAAAATGTCATTTTATCGCTCAATAAAGTTCGGATGCGAGGAATTATATCACTAGGGCGTAGCCCGAGCGATATAATGATGTGCATCCGAACGACAAACGGTGACTTTATCAAGCGATAAAATCACCGATTTGGATATATTATTTCGATTCTAACACGACATCAACACATACATGCTGCCGTACCTGATATTAAGCTAAATTGGCACTGATCTATTTCGTACTTATTTCAGCGCCACGTGGTTACGCCATGTGTATAATGATTACGTCACATATCTAAATATAGAACGTCAAACAGTGATTTTTGGCGTCCGCGCCGAAGCGCGGCGCTCTTATGGAATGAAATCAGATTTTGTGAAAGGGCGACAGCAACTTCTCGAGCCTTATAGTCGGTCATAATGAAAGCCGAAAATTCCGATCGGTATGAGGGTGCTTGATTATTAATTAAGAATGAAATGTCGCGATATGTTACAATGAATATTCGCAATGCAAACATTTTCAAATGAAATAACCTTTTCCGTCAATAAATCGCGCTCTTCGGGGTTTTTTATTTATCATTTTGTAGTACACAGTCGGTTATCATGGTATGTTATTGTTGTACATGTATCCTAGAATGATCAGTTGATGACCTAAATATTCCAAAAACCTATTTATAGATATATCTATTTATCACTCCTATCGGTAAATGCCGGTTTCTCCCGGTCTATTTTGACCAGGATTTACTAGTGACCGGCGAATAGTACCACACGTTTATTGTCCGGTCTCTCCCGGTTTTGGAGTAGATGTTTGATATCGTTACAATTAGAAGAAAAAAACAACATGATCAGTTGATGACCTAAATATTCCAAAAAACCTTATTATATAATATATCTAGTTTATCACTCCTATCGGTAAATGCGACGGTTTCTCCCGGTCTATTTTGACCTAGGATTTACTAGTGACCGGCCGAATAGTACCAACACGTTTATTGTTCCGGTCTCTCCGTTTGGCTTTTTTTTTTTTGGGGAGTAGATGTTTGAATATCGTTACAATTAGAAAAAAAAAACAACAAATAGCATGTTTCATTTTATCTATATGAGATAAAAACAAATAATATGTACACGGATTTATATGTAATATAAATCCGTGATATGTACAATTAATTGAGAAAAAGGTACATTTTTTTTAATGGTATTAATTAAAATGACATTATCAAACTTTGAAACATTTTATTTAATTTGTTATCCGTGTTTAGTAAAAAGATGCCGAGGAATTATTCAAAGTTTACAAATTTAGATTTTATAATTATTCAATTGATTGATAATTCAAAAAAATGATAAAAAAAAACAAATATACATGTACATGGTTTAAGAATAAACAATATTATATATTTGAAAGATAAACCATAATTTACTGACTTTTTCAAGTTAAGCTTTGACTTATAATCGTCCGGTCAATATGACAATTGAATTCTTAAAAATTTATTTTACAATTTTAATAAAAAGAGTAGTAAAAACTTCAGTATTTAAAATAAGCCACAATAAAACACAAAAAGAATAAAAAAGAAAACAATATTCATAAATTTTTTATTTTTTTAAAATTAAATAAGATTTTACAAATTATTGTATAATAAACAATTATGCTCAACCATGATCAACATGGTAATATAACCATTCAAATATTTTACTAACTTAAAGTGCTGAAACAGATACCTTAAAGGCGGGTCTTCGCTAATAGCCGAGAACATAATAAGGGACAAATGTGTGCGTACGTGTTGATCATGCGTTACCACATATGGATTATAAATGATTGCATACATGTATATCCGTTCTATTAAAACCACGATCATTAAAGAAATAACAAGTAATATTCTAATCTCTAGCATGCCAATCAAAGTTCATTATGAACAATGTCTTTTCCGTTCGCTCATTCATAAAGTGCTATACATTTCTGGTAGTTTATAAGAATATCTTGTCATCATATGTGTACTAGTTCATCTTCACTTGCTGCATTTCTTGCTTGGACGCCCTTTGATGCTTTGCATCAATGCTTTTCTTGTATAGCATTGTAACATACACTTACGGTTCTTCTATGTTCAAAAGGGAAAAATAATGTATGTTCTTGTTGAAAAATAAAACTATAAAAATATTCCCTGGCCAAATTTTTTTTTGCTTGTTAAAAAAGGGTTTTGGGCAAATTGGGATTTGCCGGATTTTTTGTCCCTTATTTTTAATCGGAAAAGAATTCCCTTTTATATTTTAAAAAAGTTAAAATGGCAAACCCTTTAATAGGGGGAAATCATATTTAAAAAATCGATTTTGTCGATGAAAATTAAAACAAAACCCCAAAAAATTGGGATTATACCCAAACACTAAAACCCGTGGCCCTTTTGCACATGTTTTTGGGCCCTCTGCTTAAAAGAAGCCCTCGACACTTCGTTGTAAGCCCTTTGGGGCCCAAAAAAACTGGGAAAAAGGGGGAAACTTTTTCTCTGTTGTCTTTTTAAGAAAAGAAACAATCTGGTGCCCTTTTTTTTGACCAAAAATACTCTGGCGCTCTTTTTCTTAATATATCTCTGGCGCATTGCATTTCTTTTATAAACATCATTCTGGCGCCTTTTTTTGACAAAGATCAATCTGGTGCCTTTGTATGACTAATATTACTCCGGTGTCTTTTTATGACAAATATCAGTCTGGTGCCCTTCTCTGAACATCGGTATTGCGCCTTTCCATGACAAAATAAAATTGCGCTTTTGTATGACTTGCATCATTCTGGCAACATTTTATGACAAAATTAATATGGCGCCTTTCTATGACTCATGAATAAGCGCTGTTATATTACGGGGAAGTCAGGGCCCGCGAGACTACACGTGTATATTTAAAAAAAATCAAATAAAAACAATTAAAAACATATATAAAATTATATACCTATCAATTAAATTTTCAGTGTCAGTTCTAGTAAGGCGCCGCCATGTAAAAAAAAAGCTGAAAAAGGGTAAACATATTTTTTTTAAAAATTTCTGATTTAAAGGAACATGCTTGTTTTTTAAAAAAATCGAAGAATTCTGTGCCACGTAGAACATTTCTCATCAATTTAGATGCAATTTTGATACGAAATACCTCAAAATGACGTTGCTACAACTTTTACCAAATATTTTCTCGTGTGTTTTCTGTCACGAGGAGATACATCTTGAGTAATTTTTCTACAATAAAGTTGATATTGACCCATATAAGTTTTGTTGAAATAAACGAATACCCATGTGTTTTTCAACCCAAAATAGTTTAGATTTACAGAAAATTTATGTTCACCACAGTATTTGTTGAATGGAAAGAATGCGTGTGTGTTCTTTTTTCCTAAAGAAACATAAAATGGTAAAGTGACCTTCAACTGACAATTGTAGTGAGACGACACAATATGTTTTGTGATAGTTATGATAGTTATGACAGAGCAAATAATTCGTGGCTAAGAACCCCATCAAAGTAAGATATTGGAATAATGCAGTGTAACAGATGTTTACAACGCTTTACTTTTGTCATTTTATGTTGTACACATTAACATCAAGTTTGAATCGATAAAAAATCTAAAATAAAAGGTCTGATACCTGAATTTTACGAAATTAAAAATACGCTTGACATTGTTTAATTAAATATTTAAACATGTACAAATGTATATTAAACATAAATAAGGTTACAAATTACCCCTTGTACATTATGTTTCATGAACACTTTTAAATTAACAGTTATTTAAAATTGCCGCACACATAAATGATAGGCTGTTTAAATCGAAAGTATGAAACTGTATATCTTTTTTCAAATTTCAATCTTTTTAAAAAATGTCTTAGGTATACTTTCTTTTTTTTTACACATTTACAATTTTATAAAATATCTCCAGTTTTGTTCAAATATTTTTCAAAAAAGAAAATGTTACTTAAAGTATATAAAATAGAAACGAGGTTGTTTAATTCCGCCATGTTTGTTGTGTAGTTTTATATTTCGGCAGCAAGACAAAATGGGCTTAAAACACCTCGAGTATCAAACAAGGAAAAGTAAATATCGCGAGTGTTTATAAAGATACATGTATACATATACTAGTTGATTTTTTAATTAGATAATTAACTATGTCTACAACAGGTACCGAAAGGTATAGTAGAATTATGCTTACATTAATGAATGGTGGAACAAAACTAACAAGAAGATTTGTCGAGAAAAGAGTTAAGGATCTTAGCAAGAATGGTGAAAAAGTACTATCGTGAATTTTTGGGGAAAAATAAAACGTAAAATTAACAATAAAAGGGAAAGAAAAGGGGAAAATGTATTTTTTTTTCCCCCAAAGTCCCCGGGCTTACAAAACTAGATCTGGGACCTTTGATGTTCGTTTTTTTTTTTAGAAGGAAAAATTTGGGTCTGTCTTACTAAAAAAGATGCGTATCAAGAAGCTTTTGAAGATCAGAAACAAACTTTGTCATTTAAATGACCCAACGTTAGAAAAAATAAAATTCAAAGATTATACTTATCATTTGAATGTCAGCTTTGAAAACTGTCTAGATGAGATCAATGATGAAAAGTTTACAGAGGAAATGAAAGCACTTGTTCAGACATTAGCCACTGGTCCTTTGTCAATAGATGATACGCTTAAAGCAATTCATAAGCTTTACCACTCAGAATTGACACAGAAAGAAGTCTTGGAAAAAATTGGGAATGGTAATAAAGAGAAAATATGAATATTTTATGATATTTGAAAATATGAGAAAAAAGTGTATTTTCTCAACATTGTACAAGTAATGTAATAATTCAAATTCAAAATATAAACTTCTGTATGTAAGTAAAAATATCTTTGTTTCTCTTAATTTAACTTGAAATCAATAGGTACTTAATACCCGTATTTTTCATTTTGTACAGGCCAAGACTTGACAAATGGAAAGCTTGACACACTTATTGAAAAGGTTGAAAGACTTGAAACTCGTTGGCCATCTGGAGCTTCTGTAGACATTCCGGGTAATTAAAAAAAAAAGATTGTTTTCATATGAAAAATATAGAAGATATTTAAGATAAAAATCAGTGGCGAGTAAATATGTATTTGTGATGAAGTAAATAACTTAAGTCCATCTGCTTAATCGGACATGTTTGATATTGCTATGCATCTTTAAGACATACATATTTTTACGGTAAAAGCTACAACACCGCACACCACACTTAACCTTTAAATCATCGAATTAAAACATAGAAAACTTCCTCCTTCAAAACCAAAACTTCACCGCCCCTTCCCTTATATAAAATAAGATATTTTAAATTACATTTTGAATAAAAACTACCCGTGTAAATATGAGAATAGTTTGAATGCATAGCAGACCTGTATTTAGGTCAAGTACGCCTATGCGTTTATATTCTCTTTTCACAGCGTACACAATTCAGTGTACGCTTTAACTTCCGCTTACGAGCGAGTTATACACGACAAAACGCGGATTTAGACTGAAATATAGGTAAAACAGTTCAGTTAAGCTCGATCATTGAAGATTTTTTTTTTATTTTAATGATTATGTCTTACATGGAACAGATTTTTCCCGGTCTGCTTTTTGTGGCAAAACCTATATTTTTTAAAACAATCCGATTTTCAAAAATGCCCGTTTTTGTCGACTTCAAGCAGCTTTACATCAAATGTTTGTACAAATTCTCTTGACTCTTAAAAGAATAACTATATAGGTAGCAGAAAAATGAGGAAATAGTTGAAGACAACTCTTTCGTTGACACTGAATTGCCACCGCTGAGGTTTGCTCACTGTACGGTTGCTTCGCACACCGTATTACCGGCGCCAGTGGCAGATCACTGCAGTGATGGCAGATAGCTGAACTTTAGCGCTCGGAACAGGTAGGTTATAAATTTGGTTGGTATTATTATATTACACAAATACGACTCATTTTATTGCTATGAAACTATTGTCCATTGACTGGAGATACTATTAGGTAATTTTGGACTTGTTTTTCCTGTTTTTAGACTATTTTGAGCAGGTTAAAAGTGACAGCTTCGGAAAAATCCGAGAAAATATCTGATTTTTTTTTTGGTAAAAATATCTCAAGTTTTGACTAAATGGCAGGATTTCGTGTTATTAATATAGACGTTCATCCATTAGGGTCACGCAATGAAATGGGTCATATTTGTGTAATATGATAATACCAACCAAATTTATAACCTACCTGTACCGAGCGGTAAATTTCAGCTATCTGCCATCACTTCAGTGATCTGCCATCACTGGCGCCGATAATACGCACAGGTGGCAGTATCAGTGTTTGGACACCCCACCCCTTTCTGCCCCTGGACCCCTACTACAACCCTGAAAAGGCTTACTACATGTATAAGGTACCAAATAAAAAACCACCGATGAAATTATATTTTACGAGAATTGATATGGAGTTTATGACTAACATTTTGAAAACTCTTAATGTAGATTCCCGTAACATCCACAATAGCACAGTCGGTTAAGTGATTACCTAATGTATGAGAGGTCCGAAGTTCGATCCATTCTTTTTAAATTCTTTTTAGGCTTATTCTTTCTTTATATTTAAGTATTTTTTAATGAAAATTGTCAAGCGTTTGCAAAATTGTCTACACGGATATGAAACAACTAAGAAACACTGAATTGTCACGTTTTGTATTGTATTTTACGGCACTGAAATAACATTTATTGATTTTAATCCAAATGAATTTTGAATATTAATTCTTAAACAAGTATAATATTTACCAAAAAAAAATGCAAAGCATATTAAAACAGAAAGAACAACCATAACTTAAAAAATGTTGAAAATAGTTATGAATAAGAAAAAAAATGGACATACGCTGTCTCGATCTTACAACACGTAGGGCATTTAAACAATATATACCCGTAGTTTACCCTATTTCGCTATAACGGTCGTAGAAAATAACATCTTACTGCGTACATCTCACGGAATTTACCGAACATTTATCGAATATTAATATATTCTGTGCATTGACCGTATAATCAGTATGTAATTGACAGGTTAATAAACTCAAACAATACAGTGTGTACCTTGATGAGACATAAATCATTATTTTTGACAAAACAACTCACAGTCATTGTGACAACAGTCAAATTCAGGAGTCAACACAGTGCACTTTCATATTTAGTTGATAAATTGATTTTCTATTTAAGCAACAGTGATCTTGACCTTGACTTTACAGGACCAAAAAGCAGGCAGGTGAGCTGGCAGGCGTGCATCAAACTAGACGGTTTCTGTTAAATAGCTATAAAAAGTTTTATTACATGTTGTATAGTAGTTGTGATTAAAATGATATTTCATTATATATTATATTATATGCAAAAAACAAAGGGTCATAATAAGGTCAAATAGTATCCAATCACAAAACCCCGATAATATGCGCTAGGGCTCTTCATGGCAAAGCTTCTGTGGAAGTTTGAACAAAATCCTATGAGAAATGTAGGAGATGTTGCGCACATACACAAAAAATGTTCACTTTATATTCTACATGAGGGAAAAATGCGCTAGGACACTTGATGACAATGCTTCTGTGGAAGTTTGGTCAAAGTCCCTTGAGAAATGCAGGAATTCCGCACAGAAAAAATTGTTTACGCCCGTCCGCCGACATACCTCAATCTAATAACCAGTTGTTTTTTTTCTTCAGAAAACCTGGTTAATAAAACACACATACAATAAAAACAAACATACAAAACACACACTTTGACTTTATGCAATTAAGACATTCCATAAACAAATGTGAACTTCAATGCAAATAAGTAATTACATCAATAAGGTGTACGATGCTGGTGTATTTTCCCATTTCCAAAACATTGACATGTAAAAACACTGTTGATGTGTAATTTTAAATCTTAAATTAATTAACAATGGCTAAAACAAATAAAACATCAAGAAATTATGAAATAAATGGCTATCAGGCAACTGTACACAGTTTAAGCAATCGTACAATGAGTGAGCAAGCAACCATACAGTTAGGAAACAACACCAATTATTATTTATTTGTCAATTTTTCATAAACCACTGTGTGCACATCAGATATTGTTTAATTTTTATAAGCTCTAATGATTATTCTTCAAAGTATCAAGAGGATTTGCTCGTATATTATATGCAAAGTTTGAAATCGATGTTTGAAGTCAACAATTGTGACATTTTTTGAGGAATCGGGGTGAGAAATCGTATTTTTTTCCGGAAAATATAGGTTTTACCGTAGGGCTTAGTCCAGAAATAATCTCTTTTATGTAACTCCTAGTTATAAAAAATAACAATTCCTCCATGATTGGTCTTTATTTAACTTATTTATCAATTTTCAGTTCAAATTCGGCGATTTTTCGCGTTTTTCTTGCTCGCAAGCGGAAGTTATAGCGGACACTAGAGTGTACGCTGTGCTTTTGCTGTACAACTCATTCAAATGTTTCAATTTAAGACTTTAATACTGGTATAATCATGGGATATCACATTTCAGAGCAAATTAACTAAGTTTAAAGATATACTATGCTCAAATCTATATTAGAAAATGTTGATTATTTCTACACAGTCTCTTTGAAAATATAAAATAAACATGTTTTGACTTTACACAAAGTAGATATGTTATGTTTATAATTCTGCACGCATTAAGTGGTCACAATATGAATATGTTGTGTCATTAAAAATCTGCAGTTTTTTTTAAAAAAGACTAACTTTACTTGACCTGTAATAGGGAATGCAGCTTCCAATGCATAGGTTATTCATTCTTTTATTCAAATTAGACATATTCAGTAAAAATATCTTAAATTTCAATAAATTTCTGTAACTAAAATATTTTACACAAGTGTGAGCATAGTATTTCTTTAAAAAGGACCATTTAGTCAATATAAAAAGATCCATGTTTTGAAGCACACGGAATCTCGCAATGAACTGATTTTTAACCACTTTTAAGTCGAATGCCTGGATTCTGTTGCCGAAATGATAACGGTAGATAAAAAAATACTAAAGTAAAATGATCATATTTATAAGTAAAACCCGCATTATTGTTTGATTTTATTAACCTGTCAATTGAATACTGATTATACGATCAATGCACACAAAATACGTATATATCTTCGATAAATTTTCGGAAAATTTCGTGAGATGTACGCAGAAATATGTGATTTTTATTTGTTTCATGAAAAATTTACTTTGGCCGTTACAGCGCAATAGGGTAAACTACGGTTTTATAAATTCTTGAAGCCCTGCGTGTTGTAAGATCGAGACTGCGTATGCCCATGGTTCTATTTTCTTACATATAGCTGTTTTTAACATTGAAGTCATGATTGTTTTTGTGTCGCCTTGAAAAGGCGACATATATGGGTTACTTTTGTCGGCGGCGTCGGCGGTGTCGGCTTCGTTGTCGGCGTCCCCTAAAGCTTGTCCGGAGCATAACTCAGTCACTATAAGTCGGATTGACTTCAAACGTAGTATGCAAGCTTCTTTCAATAACCCGAAGTGCAGTGCATAAGGACCGGTACTCTGTACTTCTTAATTTTCAAGTTATTGCCCTTTGTACATGTTCATACTTTAATTTTGTCCGGGCCATTTCTCTTCAACTATAAAAGCTATGGACTTTAAACTTAATGGGATGATAGATCTCATTAAGAAGAAGTGCAGTACACAAGAATCGGTACTCTGCATTTCCTAATTTTTTAGTTATTACCCTTTGTTAATTTTCATACTTTATTTTTGTCCGGGCCATTTCTCCTAATGTATAAAAGCTATGGACTTGAACCTTTATAGGATTATAGATCTCATTAAAAAGAAGTGCAGTGCACAAGAACCGGTACTTTGTATTTCTTTTTTTTGAGTTATTGCCCTTTGTTAATTTTCATACTTTATTTTTGTACGGGCCATTTCTCCGAAAGTAAAAAAGCAATGGACTTGAAACTTCATAGGATGATAGATCTCATTAAAAAGAAGTGCACAAGAACCGGAACTCTGCATTTCTTTTTTTTTTAGTTATTGCCCTTTGTTATTTTTATACTTTATTTTTGTACGGGTCATATCTCCGAAAGTATAATAGCTATGGACTTGAAACTTCATAGGATGATAGATCTCATTAAAAAGAAGTGCAGTATACAGGAAACGGTACTCTGTATTTCTTTTTGTTTTAGTTATTGCCCTTTGTTAATTTTCATACTTTATTTTTGTCCAGGTCATTTCTCCTCAAGTATGAAAGCTATGGACATGAAACTTCATAGGATGATAGATCTCATTAACAAAAATTGCAGTGTACAAGAACTGGTACTCTGTATTTCTTATTTTTGAGTTATTACCCTTTATTAATTTCCATACTTTATTTTTGTCCAGGCCATTTCTCATAAATTATAAAATATATGGACATGAAACTTCATAGAATGATAGATCTTATTGATAAGAAGTGCAGTGCACAGAAACAGCTGCTCTGCACTTATTATTTTTTAAGTTATTGCCTTTTGTTAATTTTCATATTTCAATTTTGTCCTGGCCATTTTTCCTAAACTATATTGTTCAAAAGGCGACACATCCGACTCGCGGAGTTCTAGTTTAGGTTATTATTTTTGTTTTTTTATATGTTTTGCGCTTATTTTGGTCACGTTTATACCTTTTTAAATAATACATTTTAAGAATTGATATTTAAAATTCATTCGGATTAGAATCAATAAATGTATTTTCAGTGTCGTAAAGTACAAAAACAAAACGAAACAATTGTTTCTAAGATGTTTCATATCCGAGTAGACAATTTTGCCAGCACTTGGTCATTTTCATTAAAATATACTTCAAAAAATAAAGAAAGAATAGGTCTCAAAACAATGGCAATAGTAGAGATCGAACCACAAACCACTTATAGATAAGATAATCACTTAACTGGATGTGACGAGAACCTTTCCATATAGCTAGTGTGATAAACATTAGTTACATACTCATATTAATTCTCGTAAACTATACGGACAGGACCGAAGTGGGGTCGATTATTTAAATGAGATCTATTATGTTTTAATAATTGACAGGTCAATAAAATCAGACAATAATTACAGTGCAAAAAATCATTTATAAAATAGTATACATTTGTTATTTTTATAAAATTTGGTAAATTTCCTATTTATTGTATACATTTGAAATATTTTTCATCATTGTTTGTTAATAACATAGATTACGTCTTATGTAGGTATTGGAATGGTGATAGAGGTTGAAAATTGCAGTGAAGAAAAAAAGAAAGAAATTTTGGATACTTTAGAGAAAAACTTCAACGAGGCTATCCTACAGAAAGTATCATGTCCTGAGGAAGATCTACCAAATGGTGGTCTGCATACATTAAGGGAATCAGTTACACGAGTGTTTCTAGATTTTTTAATTAAGGGAAGACATATAACATTTGTGAAGCAAAAGTGTCTGTTGCTTACAATAAAATGTACATCAGTAAAAAGTTTTCTCAAAATGATCCGCGATTACAGAACTGGAGATCTATCATTACAACTCTCAGGCATTGAAACAGCTATAAAGAATTTGCAAGGTTGTGGAAATGTACAACTTGTCAATCTAATCTTCAAAGAGGAATTTATGGAAGTCATGGATGACCTTGGTATATCAATATTTGTGTTACCATATATTTCATTCAGAATTATCACTGTCTATATTGACCTTTTCGAAAACCTAGCTACTAAACACCGTTTTCCGGTACGTTACCGATTTAGCACTGGGGAATTACACCCAATTAAGTACATAGCACAATTGCATGATATTTCTATTTTTCTATCATTATTTTACCGTTTAAGGTGAAAACAGTTGTTGTGTTTGAAAGTTTCCAATATTCCTTAAATATATCTTGCAATTTTTTTCAAAAAATAAATTGTTTATAATGAAATTCATTAAAATTAAAACAATCATAGTGGCATCTTCCATTATAAATAGAGATATTTTCTGTGTAAACTTGTGTATTTACTTTATTTTATGTATGGAATTATTCATACAATGGTATTTAATTATTTTCTTACAAAGACATAACTGTTTTTATTTCTCTTTAATTCAAAAAAGGCCAAAAATATGGAGTTCATTATTAAACTCCATTAGGTGAATTCCCAAGAGCTATGTATAGAAAGTACCGGGAAACGGCATTTAGCTAGGTTTGTGAATTCGTGAATCCTTTTTTTATCTCTGACATAATCTTGAAAAGCAATTTAGAATTTTCCTGAACACCAACAAATCTAAGATGCTTTTTAATCATTAAATACTATAAGATATACATGTAGTACCAAATTATGTTTCATAAAATTTCAGTTTCCAAATTATATGAACGAGTTCAACAAACCGAGTACACTTCCGTACAAACACGTTGCAATGCAGAGAATTCCATTCACGTTACACTTTTAAAATGGCCTACAATTTCTGAACGGAAAACAGTACAAAACCGTTTCAAAACTAAAATGTTTGCTGACGGAATGAAGCACATTGAAGCAGAACTAAAGAGAAAGCTGAACGTAGAAAGTATGTCATTGACAGCCAAACTTGTCGTTACAGATGACGCTGTATCGAATTTCGGTGAGTCATATTGTTTAACAAAGAAACTAATTCATATTATTATGTCTGCAAACATATAACTTTTATGCAAAATACATGTTATTAATGTAGACCGTGTGTCTTAAAATTCATGTACTCAATTAATTGAACGTGCAGAAAATTTATTTCTTAATAGTTCAATTGATTTCTATTTTATAAATCTGCATTTAGCAAAATATTCAGGGAATATATTACAGACACAGAGCATGTGAATGTAGAAAAAAAATGAAGAAAAGTATTCAAAATTGGATCTTTTTAAAACAGAATGTGAATAAAATGTGAATAAAATTGGAAACTTAAACAAATATGAAAGTTGCTTTTCATTCCATTATGTATAAAGTTTAAGGTGAGTTGAAAGAACTAAATTGATATATTTTATGCTTTTCAGCGGATTACTGGTTTATCCGTGAAAATTATATTTGATAATTTCACAGTGCAAATTATCAAAATATAATTTTACACTTTTAAATGACGAAACTACTTTTATGAGATTTTCCCAATGTGGTATCTCAATTTTATTTTTGCTGACAATTCTGACAATGTCTGGCTGTTTCAAAGAAAAAGCAAAGCTGAAATTGATAAATAACTTAAATGTCAAAAGTAATAAAAAGAAGAAAACTTACTTCTATTCATTCAAATTCCAATCACCAAATTTCGTATCCTAAATTTTTTTTGTTTCATTTTTACAGTCTGAAAAATACATTCCTTCCACATGCAAAACTGCTCTTGATCACATTTTGGCATATTAAAGTATCCTACCGTATACTTTATGAAAAATTGAAAAGCGATGACAGCCATCAGCTCGAAGAATAAGTAAACAACCCAGCGTTCCTGAGTCAGCTTCTAAGTTTTCCATTTGCCTAGCTGCTTTTTTAGCTCACCAGAGCCGAAGGCTCAGGGTGAGCTGTTAGTATCAAAGGGGGGGTGCTCCGGCGTCCATCGTCCGTCGTCCGCCGTCATGCGTCAACAATTGTCTTCTTCTCTGAAACTACAAGGCAGATTTACTTCAAATTTGGTCTGTAGCATCCTTGTGACAGTCACACTTGGATTTGCTCATGTCATTCCAAGTGGCCCCTTTTAGGGGTCAGCAGAGCTAAAAATAGAAAAACTTATAAACATCTTCTTCTACAGAACTAATTGATGGATGATCACCAAACTTTGTCAGTAGCATTCTAAGGTAGTCTTTTATCAAGTTTGCTCATATAAATTTGATTGGCCCCTTTTAGGGGTCACTAGGGCTAAAAATAGAAAAACCTGTAAACATCTTCTTCTACAGAACTAATAGATGGATGATCACCAAACTTTGTCTGTAGCATTCTTAGGTAGTGTTTTATCAAGTTTGCTCATATAAATTTGATTGGCCCCTTTAAGGGGTTACTAGGGCTAAAAATAGAAAAAACCTTTAAACATCTTCTTCTACAGAACTAATGGATGGATGATCACCAAACTTTGTCTGTTGCATTCTTAGGTAGTCTTTTATCAAGTTTGCTCATATGAATTTGATTGGCCCCTTATAGGGACCGATTAAGCTAAAAATAGCAATACATTTAAATGTCTATTTCTACAGAACTTATTGATGGATGATCACTAAACTTTGTCTGTAGCATTCTTGGGTAGTGTTTTATCAAGTTTGCTCATATTAATTTGATTAGCCCCTTTTAGGGGCCGCTAAAGCTAAAAATAGAAATACCGATAAATGTCTATTTCTAGAGAACTAATTGATGGATGATCACCAAACTTTGTCTGTAGCATTGTTGGGTAGTCTTTTATCAAGATTGCTAATATTATTTTGGTTGGTCCCTTTTAGGGGCTGCTTAAGCTAAAAATAGAAATACCGTTAAATGTTTATTTCTACGGAACTTTTGATGGATGATCACCAAACTTTGTCTGTAGCATTCTCGGGTAGTGTTTTTTCAAGTTTGCTCATATTAATTTGATTGATCCCTTTTAAGGGGCCGCAAAAGCTAAAAATAGAAATACCTTTAAATGTCTATTTCTACAGAACTAATTGATGGATGATTACCAAACTTTGTCTGTAGCATTCTTGGGTAGTCTTTTATCAAGTTTGCTCATATTAATTTGATTCGCCCCTTTTAAGGGCCTCTTTAGCTAAAAATAGAAAAAACCTTTAGATATCTTCTTCTACAGAACTAACTGATGGATGGTCACCAAACTTTGTCTGTAGCATTGTTGGGTAGTCTTTTATCAAGTTTGCTCATATTATTTTGATTGGCCCCTTATAGGGGCTGCTAAAATTAAAAATAGAAATACGTTTAAACGTCTATTGTTACAGAACTAATTGATGGATGATCACCAAACTTTGTCTGTAGCATTATTGGGTAGTCTTTTATCAAGTTTGCTCATATTAATTTGATAAGCCCCTTTTAGGGGCCGCTAAAATTAAAAATAGAAATAATTTTAAACATCTTCTCCTACAGAACTAATTGATGGATGATCACCAAACTTTGTTTGTAGCATTTTTGGGTAATCTTTTATCAAGTTTGTATCACATTAATTTGATTGGCCCCTTTTTGGGGCCACTCAAGCTAAAAATAGAAAAACCTTTAAACATCTTCTACTTTAAAACCAATTGATGGATGATCACCAAACTTTGTCTGTAGCATTCTTGGGTACTCTTTTATCAAGTTTGCTCATATTAATTTGATTTAGCACCTTTTAGGGGCCACTAAAGCTAAAAAATAGAAAAAAAAAACATCGAACATCATTTCCTACTGAAATAATTGATAGATGATCACCAAACTTTGTAGCATTCTGAGGTAGTTTTTTTTATCAAGTTTGCTCATATTTATTTGATTAGCCCTGTCTAAGCTAAAGCTTAAATGCCCCAGGTCATGGCATTTCTTCAAATTATTGTTTAAACATTCCAACACTGAAAAGCAGTTGTTTTCTGGTGAGCGACTCAGGGCCATCATGGCCCTCTTGTTTAATGTTTTCACATCTGTCAACACTTATTTTTTGTCTGTTACAATCCTCAAATAAGTTTTCTTTCTTTTTAAAAGGTGTATGACTAACAAATCCAAATGATATTCCTTTGAATCAAACACAATTATTTTCCTCCCGTGAAATACACAACTTTAAAAAATGGCTGCCGCTTACATTTAACAAAGCCAGGTCTAATATAAATTCGCAGTAAGTAACAGAAATATGGATGGATGGTTGGCCTTTTTATCCTAAAAGAATTGTTTGTTTTTATTATTAAAACAAGCGATCATTCATATTTTTTAAAAAATGAATAATATCACCGTCATGTAACGTTGATGTCGGACTTATTTTCAGCTCAAGACTTCTTGTTTTTAATGAGAAATTCCGACTTAATGGGGCTCTCAATGGGGAAACAGATTTTAATATTAACGTTAATTACATGATATTTCTTTTTCTGAACGGGAAACAGTACAAAACCGTTTCAAAACTAAAATGTTTGCTGACGGAATGAAGCACATTGAAGCAGAACTAAAGAGAAGGCTGAACGTAGAAAGTATGTCATTGACAACCAAACTTGTCGTTACAGATGACGCTGTATCGAAATTCGGTGAGTCATATTGTTTTATAAAACATGTTGACAATGAAACTAATTCATATTATTATGTCTGCAAACATATAACTTTTATGTAAAATACATAATATTAATGTAGACCGTGTGTCTTGTTTAAAATTCATGTACTCAATTAATTGAACGTGCAGAAAATTTATTTCTTAATAGTTCAATTGATATCTATTTTATGTCATGGATAAATCTGCTTTTAGCAAAATATTTAGAGGAATATATTACAGATACAGAGCATGTGAATGTAGAAAAAAAATGGAGAAAAGTATTCAAAATTGGATCTTTTTAAAACGGAATGTGAATAAAATTGTAAACTTATACAAATATAAAAATTGCTTTTCATTCCATTATGCATAAAGTTTAAGGTGAGTTGAAAGAACTAAATTGATTTATTTTATGCTTTTCAGTGGATTACTGATTTATCCGTGAAAATTATATTTGATAATTTCACAGTGAAAATTATCAAAATATAATTTCACACTTGTCAATGACGAAACTACTTTTTTTAAGATTTTCCCAATGTGGTACCTCAATTTTATTTTTGCTGACAATTCTGACAATGTCTGACTATTTAAAGAAAAAGCAAAGCTGACATTGATAAATAACTTAAATGTCAAAAGTAATAAAAAGAAGAAAACTTACTTCTATTCATTCAAATTCGAATCACCAAATTTCGTCTCCTAAATTTTTTTGTTTCATTTTTACAGCCTGAAAAATACATTCCTTCCACATGCAAAACTGCTCTTGATGACATTTTTACGGAATGCCGTTAGGGCCATCGCCTATGAATGTGTTGATCTGAAACGCGATAGTCGATAGTACGATGGTGAAAACGCGAAATCACGAAACTACGATGGTGAAAACGCGAAACTACGATGATGAAAACGCGATGGTACGATGATGAAAACGCGACAGTACGATACTACGATGATGAAAACGCGATAAACTATCGTGTTTTCACCATCGTACTGTCGCGTTTTCACCATCGTAGTTTCGTAATTTCGCGTTTTCATCATCGTACTGTCTAGTATCGCGTTTCAGATCAAACCATTCATAGGCGATGGCCCTAACGGCTTTCCGGAATGCCGTAAGGGCCATCGCCTATGAATGTGTTAATCTGAAGCGCGAAAGTCGATAGTACGATGGTGAAAACACGAAATCACGAAACTACGATGGTGAAAACACGATAGTACGATGATGAAAACGCGATAGTACGATGATAGAAACGCGATAGAACGATGATGAAAACACGACAGTACGATGGTGAAAACGCGATAGTACGATGGTGAAAACGCGATAGTACGATGATGAAAACACGACAGTACGATGATGAAAACTCGAAATCACGAAACTACGATGTTGAAAACGCGACAGTACGATGGTGAAAACACGATAGTTTATCGCGTTTTCATCATCGTAGTATCGTACTGTCGAGTTTTCATCATCGTACTTTCGCGTTTTCATCATCGTACTTTCGCGTTTTCACCATCGTAGTTTCGTGATTTCGCGTTTTCACCATCGTACTATCGACTATCGCATTTCAGATCAACACATTCATAGGCAATGGCCCTAACGGCATTCCGTACATTTTGGCATATTAAAGTATCCTACCGTATACTTTATGAAAAATTGAAAAGCGATGACAGCCATCAGCTCGAAGAATTAGTAAACAACTCAGCGTTCCTGAGCCAGCTTCTAAGTTTTCCATTTGCCTAGCTGCTTTTTTAATGTTTTCACATCTGTCAACACTTATTTTTTGTCTGTTACAATCCTCAAATAAGTTTTCTTTCTTTTAAAAAGGTGTATGACTAACAAATCCAAATGATATTCCTTTGAATCAAACACAATTATTTTCCTCCCGTGAAATACACAACTTTAAAAAATGGCTGCAGCTAACATTTAACAAAGCCAGGTCTAATATAAATTCTCAGTAAGTAACAGAAATATGGATGGATGGTTGGACTTTTTCTCCTAAAAGAATTCTTTGTTTTTATTATTAAAACAAGCGATCATTCATATCTTTTAATATAATGATTAATATCGCCGTCATTTATCGTTGATTGTCGGACTTATTTTCAGCTCAAGACTTCTTGTTTTTAATGAGAAATTCCGACTTAATGGGGCTCTCAATGGGGAAACAGGTTTTAATATTAACGTTAATATTATGTAGGATAATTGGATCAAAAACCAACACAAATTAAGTATCAAAACATGTTTCTCTTTATTAAGCTTCCTCAGTTGATACATATATAAAAATGACGTAAACTTACAAAACAAACGTCTACGTTAATAGACGTTACAATTGGCGCGTAAAAGGAACGTAATAATATTACAATAAGTATTACAATAAAACATGTGCATATGTATATATAAATGTATTTTTTTTTTAAAAAACATAGCATATATAATTTTCGAAAGGAATAATTACATAAAATAATTGGACCAAAAGATACATATATTTTCATAGAGAAACTAGGCTAGTAAATAATTACAACAAGTATGAAAACAACAGTTACTTATGTGAAAGTTTAGAATTCGAAAAAATGTGCTTTAATCACATGTTGAAAATTGTAAAAAAGGGAGATAATAATTTAGAAACATATTTATCAATCAGTATATTTTATAAAGCTATCAAATAAAATGAAAATGATCTATCTATTATCTATTCAAAATATGGTATTATGCTCAAAATCAATTTATGTTATATGAAATAATGAAAATTCATATGAATACATTACGAATAATGTAGTATATAAAAGTAACAATCAAAAGTATGCGTGAATAAAGGGAGGTAATTAAATACTTATATCATCGACATAAATAATGTATTTGTATAGATTTAAATAAATTAATAACATTTTTAGATACAGTGGATGACTACTAAAATAGAACAGTCTTTTTATGCCGATATGTACTAAAAAAAATATTGACGAGTTTGTAAAAAGTTGCAAGTATATTTAGATCTACTTGAAAATGATTTTAAAATTTGTAAAGCACTTTTTGCATTCAAACCCTTCGGGTAAAATGTTTCTAACTTATGTATCCAGTATGTCTCTTTCAAAAGTCTCCCCATATTATCATGAAGTTTATCAATCGGCATAAAGGAAAAGTCATCAAGTGAGTGATCTTCGGAATTGAAATGAATTGCAACATTAGAAGAAAAATTGGGATGATTATTACTTCTTATATCAAAAATTTATGGCTGTTCATTCTTTTTGATACCTGTTGATGGGTTTGGCCGACATACTGTATTTTACATTTTTTACAAGTAATTAAATAAATCACGTCACTAGAAGTACAATTTCCATCAAAATGCATTTCGAATGTTTCTCCAGTATTTGTACTTGTGAATTTACTGTTTTCTTCAATATTTTTACAGTGAGTACATCTTTTTCTATTACACTTATTAGTTTTACCGTTCATAATCCGTTTATTTAGAGTTGAATGGGTAAGGGAATCTTGAAGATTTTTGGGACGGCTGTATGCTAAGATTGGTTTATGATTATGTAAATGTTTAACACTGTCATTTTCTGACAACATTAAAAGATCCCAGTATTTATTTATTATAAGACCAAGATGGGGAAGAGACGGATTATATGGGATAACAAATGGTATGATTTTTTGCTGCTCTGTTATATTTTGGTTATTTTCCAGAGCTTCTTCTTGGGTTGAATATTTTACTTTTGCAAAAGCAGATTTCAGCTTGCTATCAGGATAATTTCTGATCTTGAAAAAAGATTCTAAATTTATTAGACATTAATGAAATTTATCATTGTCTGAAATGATACGTCTGTAACGTTTAGCTTGGCTGTATGGTATACCCTCTTTACATTTATTAGGGTGGCATGAGTTATACTCCAGATATTGATGGACATCTGTAGGTTTTATATGAATTTCTGTTGATAAAGTACAATTTTCATTTTTAAGAATCTTAACATCAAGAAATGACATATTTTCTTTCGATATATTATATGTAAATTTAATTGTTGGGTGACATGTATTTAATTTGATTATGAAATCATGTAAGGCACTTATAGAATGATCCCATATCATAAATATATCATCTAGAAAGCGGAGCCAAGTCGTAGGTTTAAGGTCATACCTGTTTAAAAAATCAGATTCTAATTTACCCATGAATAGCCATGCGTATGTAGGGACCATAGAACTACCCATAGCGGTACCTAAAATTTGTAAATAATTTTCATTATTAAATTGAAAATGATTACTTTTAAGTGTCAATTTAAGAAGAGTGCATATTTCCTCCGTTGATAATTTACTACCACATTTTTCATTATCAAGAAAGTATTTACAAGCAGCTATCCCATCTTCATGTGGGATATTTGTATACAGTGAAGTTACATCCAAAGTAACAAGTACTGAATCTTTTGAAAGTTTAGGTAAAGATTTTAATTTTCGCAAAAAGTCAGAGGTATCTTTCACATACGACGGTAATGATTTCATATATGGTTGTAATATAAAGTCAAGGTATTTTGAAATATTTTCTGTAAAACTATTGCATGCAGAAACAATTGGTCTGCCTGGATATCCTATGGGTAGACTTTCATTATAATCTTTATGAATTTTGGGCAAGATATAAAATTGGGGCGTTCTTATGATGTCTGGAAAAATGTCAAATTCGCTAGTTATGTTACTGTTTATTTCCGATATCTCGTTTATACAGTTTTGAATATTAAGTTTTATTTCCTGAGACGGGTTATTGTCTCAGTTTGAGTAATATTTATTATTATTCAATTGGCGTTCCACTTCATGAATATAGTCAATTTTGTTCATTATAACTATCATAATTTATTTGATTTATCTGCTTTTTTAATAATGATAGATTCATCTTTGCAAAGTGAACGTAGTGAGTTCAATTCTTCTTTAGAAATATTTGTGCGGTATAGTTTCTTGTCATTATTTTTAAGAATTTCTTGTGTAATAGCTTCTATATAAAAGTCTAAATAAGTATCACGGCCGTTAGGGGGAATAAATGTAGACTTACGTTTATTAAAGAATGGCATTTGTTTGAATTCCTTATGTTCACTTTTATCATTATTTTCATAAAAGTATTCTTTTAGTCTAAGCCGTCTTGCAAAATTATAAGTTTCTTCAGCAAGTTTAATTTTATCATGTGATTTGGGTTTTGGGCAAAATTTCAATCCTTTACCTAACAGAATGTAATCAGTTTGTGTTAATTTTCTAGAAGAAAGATTTAATACCGTTTTTTTCCCTCGTTTGATTTTCCGAATTCTTTTCTTTTCTCGTTTCCATTTATTCTTGTCTGTTGTTCTAATAAATCGTCTGTTTCGTTTTGTATAGTGTTTTTCTCCAGGAGTGTTTGAATAGTTGATAGAAGATTCAATAGGGTTTTGTGCATCGTTGTTGTTGATGTTGTTGCTAATGTCGATGTTGTTTTCCCCATTTTTACGGCTTCCGCATATGTGTGGTTCTTTGTGCCCGGGGATGAAGAGTTTTTTGGATTTTCATTGTTGATGTCATTCGGTGATACTCTTTTGGTGACTTTTTTGGACCAGTTTGTTCGTAATTATCATCGGATGTGGCATTAGGACTTGGGGCTTCGGAGATTCGACGATTTTCTTTTTTCTTTTCTTGTCTCTTGTTGTTTTTGACAGCTTTTTGCTTCTTTTTACTCATATTGTTGTTCTTTTTATCAATTTTGTTTTCAAGTACAGTTTCCTTGGTACAAATCGTATCTTGTGATGTTTTTTTCTTTTCCTGAAGATTGTTTAATTTTTTATTTTGCTTCTCCACGATTTTGTTCTTTTTTGTTTCTGTTCTCTCGAATAATTCGGTGTCAAAGTCAAAAATATTTACATTTTGTTTGTGTAGAAGATCATTACGTAATTTTTCCATCTCACAACCAATTGTAATACATTTCTGCTGGTGAGCGGTCTTTACACGTTCGCATATTTCTAAAACTGTTCTGTTTAGTAGAATGTCTATGGATTGTTGTAATTCTGTGAAGTCATCGCCAACGTAGACTTTAAGATTCAGTTGTAATCCTTTGAAAATACATTCCATGTCAATGCAATTTTGAAGGAAATGAGCATGCATACTGCTTTTCATCTGTTTTTCCGCTAGTTTTTCGATTTTACGTTTAAGTTCCGACGTCATTTCTTTTTGTGGATATTTATTAGATACCATGGTTTATGATGAAGATAGTAGATAGCTGCTTGTAAATACTTTATGGAAATTTCGTTTTAACTTGTTTTTAAGCATAAAATAAAAAGAAAATTTGTTTGTTTATTGTGTAAAATGTAATTTTATTTCACCTCGTGAACTTTAAAAACAGTATTCTCACTCGTGGCTACGCCACTCGTAAGAATACTGTTTTTAAAGCCCACACGATGAAATAAAATTTCATCTTACGCACAAACAAACAAATACCTCTATATATTTACCATGTACTTAAACAACCAAATAAACAAATTGAATAATTTAGATGAGATGTTGACCTTTAATTCGCCTTGGGCCTTGACCATCAGGGTCAAATAATATAATGCTATTGTTTTTTACTGGCGTAAACTCTCTTGGTCAAATTATTGAATTTTGGTTAAATTGACATAATTCTGTTATCTATAAATGGATTGGATTTATACTTGGACAAACAAAGATCTGTGACCAAACAAACATATTTAATAATTTAGATGTGATCTTGACCTTTAATTGATCTTTATATCAGCTGATCTATATTATTTTACAATGTGTCCTACTTTCTTGTCCTTTGACGTAGAGGTATGAAATTTAGACCATGTGCTCAGTTTAAGATGTACAATCAAACTTTGATCAGCTTACCTAGATAATTTGATGAAGTGACCTAATTGCTTGTCCATTGGTGTACAGCTATGAAAATTGGATCTTTTGCCGAGATAAATGTGTAAAATGAACTTTGATCGGCTGACCTAGATGATTTGACAAAGTGACCTTATTCTTTTGTCCTTTGATATGCAGCTATATAATTTGGTCCATGTGCACATTTTTAGATGTAGAATTGAACTTAAATTTCAGCTGACCTAGATAAATAAACGAAAAGATCTTCTTTCTTGTCTTTTGATATAAAGCTATGAAATCTGCAAAAAAAAGAAGATCTAAAATTGAACTTTGATATCAGCTTACCTAGATAATATGATGAAGTGATCTATTTTTTGTCTTATGATGTACAACTAGAAAGTTGAACCATGTACACAGTAACTGATCATTGAACATTAAAGTAATTATTCATACTTAGACAAAGCACCAAATGTGACTAGACTTCCTATTTAAAATTAAATTTGAAAAGAAAAAAAAAACTTATTTTTAGCTTTAATTTTCTTTTTAAAGATTTTATTTAAACTTTTTTTTATTTCTTTAAGTACAAAAATGTCGAGCGGTGGCGGCTCATGTATTACAGTATACGAGTAGACAATATATAGCGACAATGTATTAACGCAGCTGAACAGCACGGATCTTAATGAACGTGGTATCAATTTAAAGCAAACGTGGATAAGCTTTTTTTTCCTCATGATTTTCTCAGTAATAAACAATTTAAGATTCTAGCTGCATTGATATTTGAACACTCCGCAAGCAAGTTATTCACAAAGCTTAACGCGTATACCTGTGGAATAACGTTTTAAACTTTATTATTAAGTTTGTCATATATTATTTATAAGTACTGCATTTGCTGTCTAGGTATTTTGTGCCTTAAAGGGTGGTTGGGATGTTGCCCTTTTCATATACAGATTCAATTAAATCGTGTTTATAATGGGGTAAGGGGTCATTTATGTCAAGGACACTAGTGCTAAGAAATAGATTTTTACGCTTTCATGCAGCTTTAAATAATTTCTTGCTCAAATTTGAATAAAGGTCATCCCGGCTCAAATCTAGATGGCAATAAAAATTGTTCCTTGTCATTCAGTGCCTTAATATTTAGATGACAAATATGAGGGCACTGATGTTTCTGATTAGTAAAACATTTTGTTTGTCATTCTTCTGTGCAGGTATATTAACTGACATTACTCTATTCTGTTTTTTCTTTATAGCACAACAACGTGACTCATCAGTTGTGGACGAAAATGCCAAAGTGGAAGAAGAAAGTCAATCTAAACAATCAAGAAGAAAGGCAGCACTTTGTGAAGAAGAGGATACATCTACTCCCAGTCTAAAGCTACAGTCTCACTTACATCCCGGCAGAGCCCCGGTAGACGTCCGAGGTGATCCGGGAACGACCAGGATACGACCTGGAACAACAAGGGTACATCCGTAACTCTGGTGACAACGTCCTGGATGATCCGGGAACATCCGGCATTCAACCCCGGATGGAATAAAATATTTAATATCACCGGAGTGGTCCGGGATGATCCGGGAAGTATACTTTGCCGGCTTCATACTTAGCTCTGCCGGGAACGACCGGGGTTACACCGGGGAAGCCCTGTAGCTCTGCCGTTCCAAACTTGGATGATCCGGGGAATTATATAGCCGGTAGAGCTACGGTAGAAACCCGGTGAATGCTGACAGAGCCCCGGTGAATGCGTCAGAGCCCCTGAGGATGCCGGCAGAGCCCCGAAGGATACCGATGTAGCTACGGTTGATCCCGGTAGAGCCCCGGCAAAACCCGGCTCATTTCAAAAGAATCACGACAATTTGCGATGATTGCACTTGTTTGAATAAAAACCCTCCCCATTCCCTTCTAACCAGTCTGCCATAAGGATTTTTCAGAAAATCATCATGAATTACTAAAACTCAGGAACAATAGATATTATATTAAATAAAAATTATGAATCAATGTTATAATTTTAGCGCGTTTTTAATCCACCGGGGTTCTACCGGGGCTCTGCCTGGATCGTCCTGGGCTCTGCTGGGCTCTGCCGGGCTCTGTCTGGATCGACCGGGGCTCTGCCTGGGTCAACCGGGGCTCTTCCGGCGTCATCCGGGAACGACCGGAGAAGCACCGGAATGAATGGGCTCTGCCTGGATGATCCGGACCGCATCCTGGGTAGTTAGTTGGGAACTACCGTAGTGATGCCGGGGTTAGTGTGACCGCAACAATAATTGCACCCCGGATCGTCCCGGACCATCCCGGTATCTGACCGGGATGGTGCTAGTCTGCCGGAAGTAAGTGAGACCGCGGCTTTAATAGCGGTTCACAACTTATCTCGGATAAATCTAGGCATATCTTTAAAAGTCATGTAAAAGTCATAATTTGTTTGCTATATTAACAAAATAATGTTTATGATTTCGCCTTTTGCAGGTTCGAAAATGAATCTTCACATTATTTGAATGACTGCATTATACCAAATCTGAATAAATATCTCTGTCCGAAAACGTATTCAAAGTGGGTGGGGTATTATGAACGAGATACAGGTGTACGTAGCTTGCGTATTCTAATTGTAAGTTCACACCATACCTTGTATTGGTTTGAAATGACACGCTTTGTCTTTCATGGATAATACCCTGCACCTGGAGCTAAATGTTGAAATGTTGACTTTTAGCTCAATTATCAAAAAAAGATGGAATTATCTTACTAGCCTGTATTTCGGGAATGGGATTGTTCTCTTGCTTTGCTTGCACTTCCTTAATAATCGAAAACTCGAGACACGTTTGGTCACTGTGGGTCACTGTTAAACACCAATAACACTAGCATAGATGTTGACAGAGTTTTATCCCTTTATAAACTAAGATAACCCCTGGAGCAAGATCTGTTTCTACAAATGAAAAATGATACTGAAGGCACAAAACATATATATCATCTCATTGAAGTTTAAGTTAAATACGGGGCACCATTTTACTTTTAAGATTCATTTTCAAATATTAAACCGTTTAAAGGACAATCATTACTATTAGGAAATCAATGTACAAGGTCAATAATACTAGCATATAAACATATTTACCCTTTAAAGACAAAGCAAGATCTACCTCGAAATAGCGTAAATAAGATTCCCTAAAGAATGCTTAAAACGGTAAAATTGACAATGCTGCTGTCGCAGTTTTATTGATCATGGAAACTGCAGATTAGTTCCCATATCCGTAACACCGAAATAAGCATATATCATCAATTACCTACACATTAGTATAGTTATAGTGTTTAAGTATTTTGTTTGGAAGACACTCTTCTATCACGTTCTTATATTTGGAAAAAAGTGATCCGTTTAGTGAGCATTTAAATAAGCAAAATTACATGAAAAATGCAAACTCGGTTTTAAAGAGGCTGTACATGAGGCAGGGATAATGAAAAAGTGCAACATTCGTCACACCCCCAGCACCGACTTGAGCGGTACTCAATTTTCAACACTTAAAAGATCTGGCATTAATGATCCCAAGGGACCTGAAAATATAACAACACTGAACCAGTAAAAAAACTTTAATAAATTTATGTTAGCCATTTCAATTTGTTCATTTCTGAGGAAGAATGCACCTTTAAGATAGATTGATAGAAAATACTTGCATTTTTATACCCCCGCATAACAAAGTTGTAATGGGGGTAAACTGGAATCAGCTTGTCCGTCCGGCGATCCGGCCGTCCGTCGGTTTTTCCTTGTCCGCCCAAAAACTTAAGATTCCTTAGACCCACTGCCTTCATATATAGCATGGAGGTTAGTCATGATGAGTAGATGACCGATATTGATTTTGAGGTTGCTGGGTCAAAGGTCAAGGTCACAGGGGCCTTGATTGTAAAAAGATTGTCCGCCCAATAACTTAAGATTCCTTTGACCCACAGTCTTCATATTTGACATGTAGGTTAGTCATGTTGAGTAGATGACCCCTGTCATCAGGTCAGAAGGGCCTTGACTAAAGAAAAGCTGGTCAACCCAATGACTTTGAAAAAATAAGATTCCTTTGACCCATAGTCTTGATATTTGGCATGGAGATGAGTCATGACCATTAGATGACCCATATTGATTTTGAGGTCTACATACGACTTCTTTGTTTAAAGCGACAATATGTAACAATATTCGTCACTTATATAATACGTCCGCTATAATTATAAATCAGCTTCTTAAAGGAACTACGCTGAGGTCCGAAAGCATCAAAACTTATTAGATTAGTTTTTATTTCTTTTTTGCATAGATCAAGTTGGGCACTTAAAGCAGAAACATATGCAAACGAAAATTAAGAAATATGATCAGAAATAAATTGAAAATCGTTTTGTTGTGCTGTTCGTATCCTATTTGGAGTCAAAAGCAACGCATTTCAAGTTTGGGCAATTTTTAATGATTAGAATTACTATTCTAAAAAAATCTGAGTGAGCGATTGATCTGAACAAAAATTATTGGTCAAGACTAACATCAAATGAAACATAATTGTCGGAAAATTATTTCCAGTCCCGTCCTGTCAAAAAACATCAGTTGAATCCCTTTAAACATAGTTTGGAGCACGTAATTATAACAACGCATCTAAAGTGAAACAGTGCATAATGGAAGGATAATGCTTTGAAAATGAACACCTTTTGTCATAGCTCTCAAAATGAACACTTTTTTCTCAAAATGATAGGATAACGCTGTAAAAATTGAACAAGTTTTTCCCAAAATGATACAATAACGCTCTCAAAATAAACAATTATTTTCCATTATAATAGGATGACGCTCTGAAAATAAACAACGTTTTCCTTTAATGATAGGAAAACGCTGTAAAAAATTAAACAACTTTTTCCCAAAATGATAGGATAAACACTGTAAAAATGGACAATTTTTTCCAAAAATGATAGAATTACGCTCTTAAAATGAACAACTTTTTAACCATAATGATAAAAGAACGGTTTAAAGATGAACAACTTTTTCCCAAAATGATAGGATAACGCTGTAAAAAAAGTAACAACGTTTTCCAAAACTGATAGAATAACGCTCTCAAAATGAACCATTAATTTCCATTATAATAGGGTATTGCTCTTAAAATGAACAACTTTCTCCATAATAAAATTATAACGCTCTCAAAATGAACAACGTTTTCCCTAAATGATAGGATAACGCTGTAAAAAAATGAACAACTTTTTCCCAAACTGATACAATAATTAACGCTCTCAAAATGAACAATTATTTTTCCATTATGATAGGATAACATGCTTAAAAATGAACACCTTTTTCCATAATAAAAGGATAACGCTCTTAAAATGAACAACGTTTTCCCAAAATGATAGGATAACGCTGTAAAAAAATTGAACAACTTTTTCCCAAAATGATACAATACCGCTCTCAAAATGAACAATTAATTTCTATTATAATATGATAACGCGTTTAAAAATGAACAACTTTTTTAAACAATAAAAAGATAACGCTCTCAAAATGAACGTTTTCCCAAAATGATAGGATAACGCTGTAAAAAATGAACAACTTTTATACCATAATGATAAGAGAACGGTTTAAAAATCAACAACTCCTTTCCCCTAAATATTGCACGATTTTTATAAATAAGCTGCGTAGTTATATGATTATTGTATACCCGACTTATAATATTACCAGCATTTCCATCCAAGTTATTGTCTTTTGCATTGTCTATACATGTATATCTTTATTTCACTAGTTCAGTATGTGATTCGATTTCCAGTGTAACATTTAATACATTTTCTATTTTCAGGGTCCAACTTCAATTCCAAGTCACGCGGGAGCGCTTAAGGAACGCATGTTTGTTGCTGCAATTGATATTGGAACAACATATTCTGGATACGCATTTCAAACTCGTGCAGACTTTAATACTGATCCGTTGCAGGTAAATTTTAAATTATCGATTCGAGATATTATGATTATTCTTCAATATTTGTGCCTGTGCAAACAGCTTTTAAATTAAAATGTAAGTATATTCTTGCATATAATTAGTACTTACAATACCAATAGGCTGACCTGTAGAATACCAGTAAAGTAATGGCATGTTTTCTTCTACAGATTACAACTTTGTCCTAAACTGTATAAATGTATGCGCACTGTTATTAAAATGATGCGATAAAATGTACAGTCAAACATGTGATCAAAGGCCAGAAAAGGGAGAGACCGAAAATGGTATTTATAAACAAGTGGGCTTATATATTATTATTATTATTATTTATTTATTTATTTTATCTTATTTTTGGGGAGGGGTACCATGTTCTTTTTAATCAATTAAGGCTGGTCAAACGTTGGTCTTTATTTACAGGGTGATCTTTATTCAGAGGTGGTCTTTAACACAGGGTTGACTGTATTTTAATTTATTTTGTCCTGAAATGATTTAGTTTAAAGTTTTTACATATATTATAGTTCGATTGTGTAGGAGGGACATATCAGCCTAAATAGATACTTTCAAAAATGGTTAACTCAGTCATAAGTGTGTTTCTTAAACAGAAATAAATAATAAATAATCACAATTTTATCTCAACAGAGAATCATAACAAACAACTGGAAATCCTCGGTACCTGGTCTTTTACACAAGACACCAACTTGTATTCTGTTCGATAAACATCAACAGTTCCATTCTTTTGGTAATGACGCTGAACAAAAATACAACGAACTTGCAGCAGATGGTGAAGAGTGCAACTGGTACTTCTTTAAGCGATTTAAGATGTCATTGTATAAGGAAGAGGTAAACTGAAAAAGAAGTGTTATTGTCTTTCAATTGATTATGCTGTTTGTTTGGTTATAGATAAACTATGCTAATCCTTGAGTAAAATATTCTATTCACAGAAAGTTATTGAAATCTATAAATCCCTAATGATTATGTTTAATTTGAATAAAAGAATGAATAAACTATGTAAGGGAAGCTGCGTTCCCTATTACAGGTCAAGCAAAGTTGGTGCTATTAAAAAACTGCCATTTTTTTAATGACTCTGTACATTCATATAATGCCCACTTATGGTTTGTTGGGTTTTAATCATACCATTTTTAATTCACGTGAAGTCAAAACATGCTTTTTTTTATATTTACAAAATTACAGTGAAGCAATCATCAAAATTTAATATTTTCTAATATCAAATTTGTGCAAAGTATATCTTTAAATTAATATATATTCTTTAAAAGTTTTCAGAATATATCTATAAAGAGGTAATAGTGTACACAATTATATAAAATGTATATAAAATGAATTGTATTTGTTTTTTTTTTTTTAGGCTTTGTCGCGTGACACAGTTATTAGAGATGACAAGGGTATGAACATGCCAGCTATGATTGTGTTTACAGAAAGTCTCAAATACCTCAAAGACCACTTTATCAAAACGTTAGAAAAATACTACATGTATATGGATATAACACCTCAGGATATACACTGGGTAATCACAGTGCCAGCAATATGGACAGATTCAGCAAAACAGTTCATGAGAGAGGCTGCAATTAATGTAAGAAGCAAAACATTAATATACATGTATGTCCTAAATTACTTTTTAATAGCTTTGATCACATACAAACGCACGCGCGCGGACACGCACACATACGCGCAGACACGCACGCACATATGCGCTCGCGAGTATGCAGACATACTTTAACTTGAGCTCACAATTTTACTGAAACATGATATTTTTCATTGTTTAAAGCAAATTAGGCCATTCATTTTCATGTAACCATACAAATATTGAAAACGAAAATGTAATTATATTTTAACAAATCAAATAACAGATAATTAGACTACATTGTATTTTACAGGCCAATATACATACAGACATGGTTTCACTGAGTCTGGAACCCGAGGCAGCTAGTCTGTTTTGCAGATATTTACCCGCGCAAAGAGTGACTGGTGCCAGTCAAGCAGAAATTCGAAGTTTCAGCATTGGAGACAAATACATGATTCTTGACTGTGGTGGTAAGCCTCTTATCTAAGTTACAATCATGGATGCGTTTGATTATAAGAAAATGTTAAATAAGTAAAATAAAAAATAAATAGAAAAGTCAAAGGGACATATTTTTATCAATATAAACCCATTAAGACATTACATCTATCCTTATTGCTTTAAAGGTATTTCACAACCTTAAGGGTATGAAAAGAATGAATAAGTGCTTTGGGAGGCATGTTATAGTATTATAATGGCATGTGTTCTGTAATTTTTTAATCAATATTGCAATAATAAGACTGTAAATCAATCATAATATTTTCAAAATAATACATGATAGTGATGAATATGATTCTTATTATTCAATATCCGTTTGTCTATCTTATTATTCTACATATTTTGCCTATCTTATATAGTATTCCCTTTTGTCTATCTTATTATTTATCCAATATCCTTTTGTCTATCTTATCATCCTATATTCCTCTGTCAATTTTCAGGTGGAACTGTCGATATAACTGTACATGAAATACAGGAAGGCAGTACCTTAAGAGAGCTTGCAAAAGCCAATGGGGGAGAATGCGGTGGTACGAAAGTGGATGAAAAGTTTATTTCGTTGCTGAATGATTTATTTGGACCAGATGTTATGGAAGTAATTTGTCAACGCTTCAGGGAGGATTACTTTGATGTGATGCAAAGCTTTGAAATAAAGAAGAGAAGAATTTCTCCTGACTTATCTGGAACAGAAACTATTAAATTACCTGTTTCATTTGAAGCTACATACAAGGAACTGAACAATATAGACATTGCTAACAATCCTAGTATTCCGCAACGTCTGAAGGGTAAAGTGAAATTTGTAAATGGTAAGTTACGAGTCGATGCAGATGTTATGAAGGATCTTTTTACGGATGCTTGTGCGGAAATTTGTCAAAAGGCAAAGGAGTTTTTCAGCTCTATAAGGGAGCATAGAATCGACAAAATCCTCATGGTGGGAGGTTTCAGTGAATCTGAGATGCTTCAAGTTAAGGTAAGAGAGACTTTCCCAAGATTAAATTTGATGATACCAGAGGAAGCTGGTCTTGCTGTACTGAAGGGGGCAGTTCTGTTTGGGCAAAATCCAAAGATGATTACAGCACGTGTATGTAAATATACATACGGGATACGCGCTTTCAAGCATTTCGAGCCCGGGCTAGATCCACCAGAGAAGAAGGAGGTCCATGGTGATTTTGTCCTTTGCAAAGATTACTTTAGTAAGCATGCAACAATTGGCGAGGAATACAAGACAGAAGCAAAAGTTTACACACAAGAGTATTACCCGTCTGAAGTCAGCGGATCGCAGTTAGAGGTTTGGATATACACATCGCCTAGAAAACACCCATTATATATAGATGAAGAGGGAAGTAGGAAAATAGGCGAAATAAGAATTCCAGTACAAAACACGAAAGGAAAAGATAATCCTTTTAAGGTTCAGTTTGTATTTGGATGCACAGAACTAACGGTTTGGGTCAAAGACACAGTGACGGGACAAGAGAAATATGTTGATCTATCGGTACTTTAAATGTGAAGTACATGATATGTGTGTCGATACCTCTAATCTACCGGTCTAAGCTTTATATTTAAACTAGTAAAGCGGACGAATCGTTTCCCCGTCTTCTATTTACAGGAATAAAAAACGTCACTGATGCTTTATAAATAACTCTCGGGATGTTGTCTAGAAAATTTAACCGTGATAAGATTCACTTTACCAAAATAAAATAACTGAAATATTTAGTTTGAAACAAAACAGAATTGTTTTTTCAACAGAAAATAAAAACTTAAGGCCTCTTTAAATATAATATTTTGGATATCCATTTACATGACTTTTATATTATGGATATCTATTCATATGTGATATATTACATTTTGTTAATGTTTATATGATTATTAAATGTCATGATCTGCGTGAATGTTTGGCAATAGTTCCGCAAGAATTTCATAATTTTACACGTACACGTACACGTGATTTGCTTGCTTATTTCATGTAAATACGAATAACATTCGATGTCAGTATTTAGTTTGCAATTTAGCAAAAACATGCATCCTTGTTTCTTATAAGAAGGTTCTCGTAGCGTCATTGCTTGAAACTGCATGTTTACTTGTTCATATTCTTGAATAAATTGATATCCATACCTGTACATTATGGATGAATACATTTACTAGAACTAAAAAATATTCACGTGTATTAAATGTCATGTTTTATATCGAGCAAATGAGATGAATTAATTTTTCCTTACCTTTTTTGAAGATAAAGGAATATTTTAATTTTTACCAAAGTAGAAACAATTTTTACCAAAGTAGAAAGTATCTTAAAAAGAATGTAATTATTATATTTCTTCACTGCAATTCAAGTCGCATTAGTATTTTATAATTGATTAAAAGGCTAACAGGTGCACGAATACGACTAAAAGCAATAAATTCATTTCTAATTTACTTTAATTCTTTTTATCTCAACTTTGTAAATATTTCATGGGTGTACTTCTACAAACTAATAGAAGAATAATGTCGATTTCATTTGTATGTTATTATGAAAGATCTTTATATTATTGGTGTAAAATATTGAATTTTAGATATGCCTATGTATAGACATTTTGTTATGTTCATATTTTCAAACAAAGAATAAAGAATGCGTGTTTCAACCATAGAATGTTTGGCATGTATTTTCAAGACTGGCATGCAATATTGATACCTCGTCAAACCTTTTGTAATACAATTATCATAAACAACATTTTTGTTTTAAAGTACAATGTATAGTCAAATACAAAAACAGAAATTCAAGATTATAAGCACAAGCGCAAAACATGGAAATTAAAACTGGAAGATTTGCAGACATCGCATTTGTGAATTGTGTAATTTGAATGTTATTGAATCAGATTACCATTTTATTTTCTGTTGTCCTAAGAAAAATGATATCCGTATTAAATAACTTGTAAACATTACTTGACCCAACGTGTATAGATTCAATTATTTTTTTCCAAATTACTTAATTTAAGAAATAATATATCCCAAACAGTGATTTTATCGCTCAATAACATCGCTGTTTGGAGTTCGGATGCGAGGAATTATATCACGAGGGCGTAGCCCGAGTGATATAATGATGCGCATCCGAACGACAAACAATGATGTTATCAAGCGATAAAATCACTGATTTGGATATATTATTTTGATTCTAACACGACAATAACAAATAAATGTTTCGGTACTTGATAGTTAAGCAAAATTGCGCCTGATTTGTTTCCGAACTTATTTCCAGCGCGTCGGATTTTTAGTGGTTACGTCACGTGTATAATGATTACGTCACGTGTCTAAATATCGAACGTCAAACTGTGCATCTGTTGCATAATAACACACACTTTCTGTTCTTCTATGTTCAATAGGGAAAAATGCGGGTCGTGTTAGAATTGTAGATAATTCTTTTTATAGGGGTAACAAAATATAACCATTTATTGGGTGTTTTCTTCTTAAAGTAAAAATATGCCCATTTAGCTGCAATTGGCGAGTGTAAGTCAAAATTATGATACCTTTTGCAATAATTGTTTGTTGTTTTTTTCCAGTTTTATATTATGCTTAATAACTCACGGACCAAAAATAAAATGTCAAAAATTTCATTTCCATTTACCGTGACTTCTTTTTCATTTTTTTTTAGTATTACAGTACATATCGTATCACTTTTTATATTTCAACAAATCTTTAAAAAGTTATTCAGCCAAGTATGTTTGGGCCCATGCTTTTTTTTTGTATTTATAAATTTTTTGTACTATGTAAATATGCATGGATGAGACGTAGATAAACAAATTTAAACGGAAAATGAGCATAATGTTAGCTTATGTTATGATTGAAATTGTTTGTTTGATAGTAAGTACTTTTTGTTCTGTTGCATAATTATGTTTTGGTTTTGAAAGCTTTTATTCTGTACTGTACATGTTTGATATTATGTACTTTGTTAACTGTTGTAAATATTTTATTTTTGAAACCTTTTAAATATACATTGTTGAATTTGTATACAACCATGTTTATGATAATGTCAAGTCTTGTTAATGATCGAAGGTATTTGTTTCTGCCGATTGCTAATTAACTAATATTTGATCATATAATTCAATTTACACCTTTTCATGCCAGTTTTCATTTTGTCCCTTTTTATAGGTCAAACATTGTGTTAGCTATAAAATATAACACTACTATATAATGGTGCATCTAATTACTTCTTAATTAAGTTAGTTAATAACATATTTAATAGAGCAGATTCAATTAAAATAACGTATTATAACATGTTAAGATATATGTTATTTTCATATTTGATAAATAATACCTACATGATAATCAGAAATTGAAAAGATAAATAACAAAAATGAGTACATGCTTATATATTTGATTTTCACATGTAGTAAGAATAATTACACTAATTCAGAAGTGGAAATGATGAGCATATATATAAAATAAATTCTTCTCCATAATTGATTTATCTCTTCGTTTATTTCTATTATACTGAAAACAGGCATACAGACAAACAAACATACCGACATATACTTTTATTTACCAGCCAGTTTTACAGTACATATAGGAGGGATGATTCTTAATACCATAGACCTTTCCTGTTAATAACAATTCTGTTTGAAATACGG